TTGCCCAAATGGCAAGCTGTAAAACTGATGTTCTTTGCACCCTGTTGCAGCTAACAGACAAAAATAGTTAGCTAGTATCCTTTGTGCAACTTAAGCATCTTATAAGTGTCAGATTGCAATCGATGCTGTTATATACATGTAAGCATTTTATAACTGTTGATTAGTTAAACCTTGCCTTAAATGTACACACTTACATGTAATTGAAAAGAGTTTCAACTAGAAAAGTATACTTGAATATGTTAAAAAATAAATGTCATTGATAAGACCTGGAGGATTTATAGGGTATGAGTTTATGAGCATAAACAAGTTCAGAGGATGTTAAGAAAAGTGCAAGTTGCAGACATCACCACACAGGCGTAAGGAAGGTTGATGTTGATATGGGGGGTTACCATTCTGCAAAAGAGACTGTCTCCAGATTTTAAATAGAAAGAAATTGGCATGGACCTCTGAAATGTATGGTGGAACTTTGATATAATGAAGGCCAAGGGCCAAGGTAATAGCAAAATAAATTTGCTATAATGAGGTTTGTTATATCAAGGTTCTTTTCTGTATACTTTACTATTTTTGGGGTGCATTATGTTATTATACTCGTCCAAGGACTTAATTGTATTACTGGGTTTATTGTATTGAGGCTCCGCAGCGTGTACATGATTTTAAAATCATGTCTTCAATGTAACATCACATTTTTTAATTCAGCTAAAATGAGGCAGTGCCCCTAGCTGATGTTACACAAAGTGTTGGATCCAACATTGGTCACAATAATAATTATTATTATTGCTGGCCTTGTTTGATTCAGGTTTTAAAGCACAAAACAACTGAATAAAACTTTTTGCACTGGATAAGACATTTGTCCATTGCAATTAGCTTATTGACAACCAAGAGATATGAGTTTATGACCACAGATACCATTAAAAAAAGCAAACTTACCTACTGTAAAAGTATTAAAAATTGTTCCCTACAGAAAACAAAGAAGGTGAAAAGAAGGTATTATGTTACATTCAGTCAAAAAGAAGAACACGCTAGTATACATAAGCGCTAGCAAAAAAAAAATAATGATGGCATTCTATTTTCACTTTCTTTAGATGGCTTTTGTTACTTTTAAAACATACATGTACAGCTGTACCAGGGCTGTTACTAAGGCCAGGGGCTGGGGATTTCTCTCCATGGCTACCATGAACATCATCCTTGGTTAATACTTTCATAGGAAAAAAGAGGAAAACAGAACCCCAACAACTTCCTTAATTTCTTCAAACCTTGCCTACCTGGAAACTTGAAATCTTTGCAATGCACTACATACTCTAGTTTAAGAAAAAATTACTTCTGTGTATTGCAAAATACACGTATGGGGGGACTCAGTGATGCCAACTCTCCCGCTTTTGGCGGGAGACTTACGCTTTTTTGCCTTGTCTCCCGCTCTCCCGCTTTTTACGTCCACTATAAATATTGAATACTTAGTTGAAAAATAAAGCAGACTTAGCTTGAGATTTAACCCATTTTTAGCTCAAAACTTGAATTTTTCTTATTCGCAGTACAGTTTCTGGGGCATTTTTGCACGTATTTATAAGTCATTGACAAAGATTATTTCTAGCATCAAAATGATGATTTCGAATTTTGATAGTATGTACATCATGTAAGACGTCATATAATGTCCTAAGTCATTCCTATTGGGGGCTGGGTCAATTTCTAGGGGGGGGGGTCGTTGAAATTCTGGGGGGGTGGTGAAAAAAAAGACAGTCTCCCGATTTTAGGTCTCCAGAGGTTGGCATCTCTGGGGGACTTAACATTCAAAATGTTGTGTTATAATGATAATTGAATCACAATTGAAAACATGCAAAAGAATGTGATATTTCGAACTAGCTGATCAAAGCAGTAATAAACTCAGGTACGTAACCTGTTCTAAATAAACTTTGTACAGTTTGCAGCCGGCATTTTTGCTTAATACATGTTTCCAAACAGTTCAAAAACCTTCAATTTCCTTTACTGTTCTTGTAGACAAACAAATTAGAGACTACATACATGCCAATATCTCAATTTGCAAGCAGTTTTCCTTATAGAATGCACATCCCTTTAAAAGATTTAATAAAGACCACTTACCACAACAGCATATAGCAATATAGTTCCTATGTTATCAAAAAATGCTCTGTCTTGAAGAAAGTAACCTGCCTCCAGAACAATCCTGTAATCAATAAACAAACAGAACATTCGGAAAAAAAGAACTATAATAAACATCATTTCCAGATATTTCCAAGAAAGATGATAATTTTTAAGTACCTTTATCATTCTGTGTTTTCATTACTTCAACATGACATGTACCTCTATTTTTTACGTTGAGTAAGTTCTTGTTGCTTATTTCACACATATTAAATTATTATTTTTTTATTATGTCTCATGTATTTCAAGTTTTTGTAACCAGGAGTCACCGGCATGTTATGAGTATAACTTGAAAATTTTATGATCACCCCAGGGAGAGTTATATACTGGACTGTTTTAAAGTGACTGCAGTTTGTAACAGACCTAGGCTTGTGCTGTCCATTTATTTCTAAAAGTTATATTCAACCTCCTTATGCAATCCATAAAATCAAATTACTTACGGTGGTAGCATAAATAGAAAGAAGGTGCGAGACGAGAAGGTAATTGCTGTTGCACCAATACCCCTACAAAGTAAATATGATGACAATAAATAATAATTATCACAATTACTCGTTGCAGATTTTTCTTGTTTTTAATTGGCCGAAAGCCCACCATGTGACCTGCAAATAACTGCCTTCAAAATTTAATAATGGTCTGCTCATGCTCAATGTCGTCCATCTTTGTTTGGCTGCAAATAATATTCTGCTCATGAGTAAATAAAACCAAGCTTTTCTCTCTCGTGCAATTGCTGTTGCGCGAAAATGGCAGATCGCTTCACTTCACTTCGGTTATTGCAAAATATCGTGATTTGTCAGTGTCTCGCAGATCAATTATTTGCCTCTGCTCACCACTGACACAGGGCTGAAAATAACACTGACAGCAGGTCGCCAGACATGATGACCGGCCAAATATGAATGAATTTCGAATTACCCTGGCAATAAATCGTTATTACTACATTGACATTCACATTTTTTGGTAGCAAGTTGGTGAAAAATGCATTCACACAAATTGTAGAGTTCCTTTCAGCAGTTTTCGCGTGTTTTCATGTCCGTTCTACCTTGAGTATCATTGTAGGCAGTGTCTGAAGTCTCTAAAGGTAAAAACGGAAGCATATTCCTTTTCAAACTCTCAAGGTTCAGGAAATGGAAACACGTACAGTTCAACAAACTTTAGGAATTACAAAAAAAAATAATTTGGGTTATTAAAGAACAAAATCTGCGCACATTTGTTTTACATTGATGTTCAGAAATGAACATCGTGAAACTTGATATTTTTCCTTGCCTGGCACGTGGTCAAAAAGCCTGGTTTTCATATGCTGCCGATGCAAATGCGACATGGCCGCCGGTACTACCTGGGATACTGTTCTGATAAGAGCACTGGAGTGGCCAGGAACTTGGTCATACCAGTCTTCACCGCCGGCATGCCTGCGAAGTTGACTGAAGTTGAACTTCGCAGGCATGCTGGCCGTAAAGCTCTGCGATGGCTCTAGTCACTGGTGGCGCATGTTCTCATTCGTCCGAGAGATAGCCCAGGTGGTACTGGTGGCTACTTCACAGATACATCGGCAGCATATGAGAACCAGGCTTAAGTCTCATCCACAAAGAAGAATCATCACTAATATTTTCGGCAAAGAAGTTGATTTGCATTGGCGAGAAGTTTGTTCCACAAACCGCGTGTTTATTATCAGAACTCAATAAAAATACAGCAGAGCTTTCACTTGGGTCATCATGCACTTTTATCTCAAAGGGCTCAAATGTCAACAGAAATTTGCATAAAGTTGTTTATTGCAGCATTCTTTTTCTTATAAGGGTTTAGTGCAAAGCAGGAAAAATGCCAAAGAAAAAAGAAATCATTACAGCATTATAGAGCATCAAGCGACAACTGTCTGCAAAATAAAATGTTCGTGTCCAAAATGATCAGCAAGACTGGAGTTTGACCGGTCAAGTCCGCAATCAGGCCGGACAATGTCCGTTGACTGGCCGTTATTTTCAGCCCTGCTGACAAATCACGATATTTTTCTCAATCTCATCCAATAATTGTTAATTATTCCAACCAAAGCTGGGGTAATTTACAAGATATTAGTAATAATTTTTTTAAATTGCAACTTTAATATTACATAATATTGGTTTAAAGTTAAAGCAAACTTAGGTAATAATAATACTTTTAAATTAAGTACACAAATAATTATGTAGGTAAGGGCTGTAACTGCAGTTCGATCTGTTCTCAGAATTTCCCTTGTCTCTGATGAATAACATTAGGACTATGAAATATTAAGAAATCCTGAATCATTTAACTAGGTTAATGAATGAAAACCCTGAAAATATTGTACCTACAACAAAGTTTCCTTTAATATTCATAAAGTCATTATCAGTCCTATCAAAGAAACAATTTAGTAGCCATTATACAGTAGCAGCCATGATCGAATTTGCAAAGCTTGAGAGTATGGTGCCTATTATTATATCTTTTTTTGTTTGTCTACTCACTTCATAATTCCTCCTATAACAATTCCAAGGACTATTACCAAACTGAAAGAAAAAAAATTAATAAAACCTGAAACATTATTTTCGCAAAATGGTAACAAAATCTTGTGATAAAAAAATTATAACATTTCAGTATGACCTGCTATAAAAATCCTATTAATGTAACTGTTGTCGAGTTAAAGATTAAGTTTTGGTTAGACATTAGTCACGTGTAAGATCAAAATTGCCGTACCTCGTGCGTTGTTGCTTGATAGAGTTAATGCGAAAGATTTATCTGTGAAGTTAAGTGCGTTCATTTGCGAATCTATTCAGGCGTACAGAGAGGACAATCGGTAAGCGTATTTTCTCTCCCCTTGTTGTTTTCGTTTCAATATTTGATCGATTATTGTTAGATTTTTTTTTGTGCGCTCGTCTTTTCTTGTATTGTTATGTAATAATTATTGCTTTAGCTTAGCTCCGTTTCATGTCGCTTAGACTAGGTTTTCTTGTTTGTATTTTTAGTTTGACGTATTTGACATCAGATTAAATCGCATTGGAATCACAGTTGTTCGTGTCTGGTGTTGAAATTCAGTACATCGTTGTCCTCGTGAGAACTTTGACTTGCGACATTCCTACGCTGTTAAACGCCTGCATTTACAGTCAAACGATTTCTCCCGGACGATTGAAAACATTTTTGGGCCGTTGTGGTTCAGCTCGTACAATCAGCATTATTTAAGACAGTCCAGAACCGAAGGAACATGCGATTAAATCGAAAAAAGTAAGATCTGATGGCGAAAAGCGCATTGTTGACAGGCCTAGAAGAACCATGGGACCATGTGGAATCTGACAATTCGTACGACCAGCAAGAGGCCCAACGTCGAAGCGCGAGAGATAAACATCCAACCGAAAAGGGCTTTGAATACATTCTCAATCTTCGCCGTCAGTCTGCCATCGCAGCTAAAAGGTCATGGAGAAAACAGATCAATTTAATCCATTCGCTTCTCGTCACGCAAAAGGACATTGCGACACTCACAGCGGGGTGCGAAGAACTGGAGAAGAAAATGACACTCTTCTCTGAGTCACACGAAGCATTAGAGGCTATAATCGATGATGAAGAAGAAAGAAGGCTCATGTACGAGAACTTTGAAGTTATCTCGCGCGAAAATAATGGCGTTCTGAGAATGATCAGCGAAAAAATTAAGTCTCAAGAGCAAGAGCTAGACTCGAAGAGCTCAACTACATCAGGATCGACTAAAACAAGCAAGATTTCCAGCAGATCGAGCCGCAAATCTTCGCGTACGCCCCCTCGAAATTCATCCTTATCTGTGCGAGAGAAGAGGGTCCAACTTGAAGGAGACATCGCTTCTCTAAGAGCAACAATGGCTCTTGCTGAGGAAAGGCAAAGGAAAGAACTTGAATATAGAAGGAAAATGGACGAAGTGCAAAGAAAAAAGATGGAAATTAAACGGGAAGAGGAGCGTGCCAAGGAAGAGCTAAAGGCCCTGGAAGAGAACTTTCGAATCAAACAAGAATTAGTCCAGAAGGAAGCACAGATGATTGCGTCCATTAAACATGAAGAAGAAGACAATCATATCCTCTTAGATGAGTTTTCAAGTAGACCTCCGACGGAGATAGGCTCAAGGAGCCTTTTAGAGAAATTCCTTGATGATCAATCAGCATCCGTGTCTGAAGCAAACGTAGCTCATCCAAACCAATCACCTATTCTTTCAACTCACTCGCCACCAGTGTGTGAATCTAAGGGAAAGATTATGGCATCACAGGCAGTGAGCCACGCTTCACTGAATCCATTCTCACCACCTTTCAAACCGATCTACACCTTAGCAAACACTTCTCTTACAAACCCTTTCCAAGACGCTTTAACCACGCCCACTTCAGCAGGAGTAAACGGAAAGAAACTTAAGTACATGGACCAATCCTTGAAACTAGCTGACGAAAGTCCCGAGGGTCAAGTTCAATCAAAGCTGCTTGAAGTTGTGAAGCTGTTGGCGGAAACCCAGAATCAAACCCGTCTTCCGCTCCCTGAGCCAGAAATATTTACTGGAGATCCGCTGCAATACCCTATCTGGGTGAAAGCATTCGAGACCCTCATTGAAGGACGAGCCATCAAGGCATCGGAGAGACTCCACTTTCTCGGAAAGTATGTGAATGGAGAAGCCAAGGAAGTCGTCGAAAGCTTCCTGCTCTTAGACTCAGAGGATGCCTACGATAAGGCAAAAGAGACGCTTAAGAAATGCTTTGGTGATCCATTTGCTGTTGCGACCACTTGTCGAAAGAAACTTGAAATTTGGCCTAAGATCCAACCAAACGACAGCACTGGCCTAAGAAAGTACGCAGACTTCCTGGTCCAATGCGAAAAAATTATGGAGAAGATTGGAAGCCTTCGTGTTCTAAACGACGACCATGAAAACCGGAAACTTGCCTACAAACTTCCGAGGTGGGCGAGTAATCGCTGGAGTCGATTTGCATTTCATTGGAAAGAAGAGAATGAAACTTTCCCTCCCTTTTCAGAGTTTGTTAAGTTCGTGGTGAAAGAAGCAGACATTGCTTGTGACCCCGTGCTATCTTCACCACTCTCCAACGAAGAAGACAATGGTAGGATACGAAACGAGAGAAAGAAGCCAAAGAGACAATGGCTTCCCCAAAGAAAATCACATGACGCCAGTACATTTAAGACAACTACAACTGATGAGAACAAAGGCACCAACGACGAGAAGCAGACGCCAAAGGTTATCGTCAAGTATTGCATTTTCTGCAAGACGGATCATGACCTAGACGCTTGTCCAGAATTCATGAAGAGGACTATCAGCGAAAGAAAGGAATTTGCCTCCATCAGAGGACTCTGCTTTGGCTGCTTGCAACGTGGTCATTTGTCTAAGGACTGCAAAGAAAGAAAGAGGTGTACCGTTTGCAACCGACAACATCCCACTCCATTTCATGGCGACTTCAGAAGGCGCGAGGAAAACACCGGTGATAAACAAGACTCAAGCAAGATACCAAAGGCAAACAATTCTGCAACCTGCTTCATGAACGGCCAAGGCAAGACTCAGGCTAACTCAATGATTGTTCCAGTTTGGTTAAGCCACCGAAACAATCCAAGTAACAAGCGACTTGTTTATGCGCTCCTAGACGACCAATCAGACACCACATTCATTACAGACACCACCCTTAATCATCTTGGTGTTTCAGGACCAGAAACAAACCTGTTGTTATCGACAATGCATGCCACCGACGAGCTGATTAAGAGTAGAAAAATAGAGGGTCTTATGGTACAGGACTTCAAGCGCCAAGTCACCCTGCAGCTACCTAAAGCCTTTTCACGCGAAATCATTCCAGCAAAGAGATCCCACATTCCGAGACCAGAGTCAGCGCTCCAGTGGCCCCACTTGGAGAAGATTGCAACACACATTGTACCTTATCAGAGCAATATAGAGATTGGAATTCTGATAGGATCAGATTGCCCACGTGCAATAATGCCTAGAGAAATCATTCCTGGAGAAGATGACAGCCCTTACGCTTTGAGATCTGACCTAGGCTGGGGAATCATTGGAAAGATATCCCAGCCCCTCAGTGAAGAAGATGGTGATGAAGATGAAATTGGTGTTTCTCACCGAATTTACACGTGCGAAGCATGGGAACCACCCGACCCTCAAGTAGATGCAGTGGAACCCAGCAAGAGAGGTTGCAACTTTTCCGTTAAAACCAATGTGAAAGAAGTGATCAATCCCTTCCAAGTTATGAAGATGTTTCAAATGGACTTCTCGGAAAAAAGGGCAAACAGACAAGCAACACTGTCCCAAGACGACTTACAGTTTCTAAGGAAGATGGAAGAAAGCATCCGACAGACCGTCGATGGGCATTATGAGATGCCACTCCCCTTTCGGGGCAACACTCCGAAACTGCCAAACAAAAAGACATTAGCCTCACGTGGACTGAACAAGTTAAAGACACGTATGGAAAACGACACAAAGTATAGCCAAGATTACATGGCATTCATGCAAGACATCATCGAAAAGGGTTATGCTGAGAAGGCGCCACACGAACAATGACACAATGATGATGGAAAGCTGTGGTACATCCCCCACCATGGAGTGTACCATCCTCAAAAGCCCAACAAAATTAGAGTCCTCTTCTATTGCAGCGCAACCTTCATGGGCCACTCATTAAACAAGTACCTTCTTCAAGGCCCAGACCTAACGAATTCTCTGGTTGGCATCCTCTGCCGATTCAGACAGGAAATGATCGCATTCATGTGCGATCTTGAAGCCATGTTTCACCAGTTCAAGGTAGCAGAAGAGGATCGCGACTACTTAAGATTCTACTGGTGGGAGAATGGTGATACCACGAGGAATCCTGTGCAGTATCGCATGACCGTACATCTATTCGGAGCAGCATCCTCTCCTGGATGTTCGAACTTTGGACTCAAGAAAGCTGCCACTGACAATGAAAGCGAGTTTGGTTCCAACGCAGCTAACTTCATTAGGAACAATTTCTATGTTGACGACGGCCTTAAGTCGGTTGCTACCGTTTCCGAAGCTACATCGCTAACCAAGAGCATCTGTGCCAGAGGGGGAATGCGGCTTCATAAGTTATCTCTAATTCCAAGGAAGAAATTGCAAAGATTGCCCCTGAAGATAGAGCGAAAGGTGTTAAAGATCTCGACCTTCACAGTGATGTCCTTCCAATAGAACGTGCACTAGGTGTTCAGTGGTGCGTGGAATCAGACACCTTTCAATTTCGGATCCTTTTGCAAGACAAACCCTTGACACGATGTGGAATACTATCAACCGTTAGCTCCGTTTACGACCAGCACCAGTGAAAAATTCTTCAGAGCCTCTGCAGAGAGAAATCTGACTGGGACTATCCAGTACCTGAGTTATTGCGTCATAAGTGGGAAAGATGGAGAAGCAGCCTACAACACTTGGAGAAACTGAAGATCCAGAGGTGCTACAAGCCACCTACGTTTGGAAACGTCACGTCCGTACAACTGCACCACTTCTCGGACGCGAGCGACCATGGTCAGTGTTCGTACTTGCGCCTTACAGATGACACTGGTCAAGTCCACTGCAGCTTCGTCATGGGCAAGGCCCGCGTAACTCCACTGAAACCTGTAACGATCCCTCGACTCGAACTAACGGCAGCCCTAGTCTCCGTCAGAGTCAGCGCCTCACTGCGAGAAGAGCTCGAGTACGATCAGATTACGGAGGTATTTTACACTGATAGCCAAGTTGTCCTCGGCTATATAAAGAACGACGCTCGACGTTTTCACGTCTTCGTGGCCAACCGGGTTCAACAAATAAGAGAGAACAGTACCCCCGACCAGTGGAAGTACCTAGAGACCAAAGAAAATCCAGCTGATGAATCCTCGCGTGGTCTTTCTCCTCAAGACCTGGTCAACAACTCCCGATGGCTAAGCGGACCACCCTTCTTATGGGAACGAGAGCTTCCGAACAGAAATGAAGAAGTGAACCTCGACATCTCTCCAGACGATCCTGAGGTTAAGAAAATACACGTTTTCGCTACCAAAACTCACCCCGAAAGGATGGCAACCATTTCCGAACGCTTGGATTACTTCTCCGATTGGCATAGAGCCAAGAGAGCTGTCGCTGCATGCACGAAACTCATAGCCTCACTTCAACACAGTTCCAAAGAACCCTTACATGGCGTGAAGAAGACAAGCAAAGAGAAACATACAACAATCTACCAATCGCCGTCAGTAGATGAAATGCGAAAGGCCGAGCAAGCCGTATTGAAGTCAGTTCAAGAAGAAGCCTTTTCCGAAGAAATTAAGATTCTGAGGTCCTTAGGAGTGAGCAACGACGATACAAGCAGAGAATCTACGAGAAGGCGCAATTCTTCCATGAAGAAGACTAGTTCATTATATCGACTAGATCCCTTCATAGACGAGGACGGTGTCCTACGAGTTGGTGGCCGAATCAGAAACGCCTCAATATCATATGACGTCAAGCATCCAGTTATCCTTCCGAGTAAAGGCCATGTTACAATGTTGTTAGTGAGACATCACCACGAGAGGATAAGTCACCAAGGCCGAGGAATTACACTGAACGATCTGCGTTCACATGGATACTGGATAATTGGAGGAAACTCATCAGTTTCCCGATACATCTCCAAATGCGTGACTTGCCGTAAACTCCGTGGAGCGTTAGAAGAGCAGAAGATGGCAAATCTGCCCGAAGACAGGCTGGAACCGGCCCCGCCCTTTACTCATTGCGGAGTTGACTACTTTGGCCCGTTTGTTATAAAGGAAGGCCGTAAAGAGTTAAAGAGATATGGAGTGCTGTTCACGTGTCTGTCCAGCCGTGCCATCCATTTGGAAGTATCCGCCTCCCTAGAAACCGATTCGTTCATTAATGCATTGCGCCGCTTCATAAATCGACGAGGCCCTGTACGAACGATCAGATGTGACCAAGGAACCAACCTCGTGGGCGCCAAGAACGAGTTAGAGAAAGCGCTGTCATCAGTGGACCGGTCCCGCGTTCGCCATTTTCTTTTGGAACGCAACTGCGATTGGATTGAATTCCAGCTCAACGTCCCGTCAGCTAGCCACATGGGTGGTGTTTGGGAACGACAGATCAGAACGGCACGCAACGTGCTTTCTGTCCTACTAGACCAATGCGGTAGCCAACTGAATGACGAATCTCTTCAAACGTTTATGACGGAGGTGGAAGCAGTAGTCAATAGCCGACCCTTAACTGTTGAGAATTTGACGTCCCCAGACGCACTAGAACCGATTACTCCCAATCACCTGCTTACGGGAAAATCAAGAGTCGTCCTTCCACCACCTGGAGAGTTTCAACGGGCTGACTTATATCTTCGAAAGAGATGGAGGCGTGTCCAACATCTGGCCAACGAGTTTTGGGCCCGTTGGAAAGGAGAGTTCCTTCATACCCTTCAATTGCGACAGAAGTGGGTGTGTCCGCGACGTAACCTCCAGCAGGGAGATGTTGTAATCATCCGCAACGATAACCTTCCTCGGAACATGTGGCAGATTGCTCGCGTAGAAGAAGCTTATTGTGATCCTGATGGTTACGTACGAAAAGCAAAGCTAGCAGTAGGAGATGGCACTCTTGATGACAAGGGACGTAGAGTTAAGCACATCAGTTACCTTGAACGACCTGTGCAGAAGTTAGTTCTTCTCGTACCGAGCGATGGGAACCGGGGAGTCCCCACCGAGGAGCCTTAGAGCTACCATAGCTGAATTGACCCAAGGATACGACGAACACTTATGAACTGGATTTGACCTTATATTTTCGATTAACATTTGATTGACTGATTTCTTAAGTTTTTTTTTATTAAATTGATTAGCTCAATTTAGGGGAGCCATGTAACTGTTGTCGAGTTAAAGATTAAGTTTTGGTTAGACATTAGTCACGTGTAAGATCAAAATTGCCGTACCTCGTGCGTTGTTGCTTGATAGAGTTAATGCGAAAGATTTATCTGTGAAGTTAAGTGCGTTCATTTGCGAATCTATTCAGGCGTACAGAGAGGACAATCGGTAAGCGTATTTTTCTCTCCCCTTGTTGTTTTCGTTTCAATATTTGATCGATTATTGTTAGATTTTTGTGCGCTCGTCTTTTCTTGTATTGTTATGTAATAATTATTGCTTTAGCTTAGCTCCGTTTCATGTCGCTTAGACTAGGTTTTCTTGTTTGTATTTTTAGTTTGACGTATTTGACATCAGATTAAATCGCATTGGAATCACAGTTGTTCGTGTCTGGTGTTGAAATTCAGTACATCGTTGTCCTCGTGAGAACTTTGACTTGCGACATTCCTACGCTGTTAAACGCCTGCATTTACAATTAAACTTAAAAGTTGCGGTGTCTAACAATAATTGTCTGATGCAAATTAAAAGTAAAAAAGATTTATAAATTATGTTAATTTGAAAACTGATTCACATCCAAAGCAAACCAGCCAAAACTAATATCTATTATCTCCGTTGGATCCGGTTCACTTGAAACAAACATGACTCAACAAATATGGAAACTGGAATATATCTTTATTTCTGTTTTGCATGTGGTATTGCGGCGGCCATGTTTGTGGTCAAGAACAAAAGCATGTATCTCCTCTAGGAACTAAACTTTATTTTCATGTAAATTCTTCGCACAAACATTCTACTGTATTAACCCCCAACATGACCTGCCTTATCATGTGTTTGCAATCCGAGAATTTCTTACAAAAATAGTAAAAAGGAAAAATCAACCATCACTCAAGGCTGTGTCCTAAGGAAAATTGTAGGGAGCCCAGTGCTCTGATCCTATAAAATCTAGGGTGCCCAGCATATGATTTGTATGAAAAAGCTAAGATTTTCTAGTCGCCTGACAGCAAAAGTTATAGGCGCCAGGGGCCACTGGGCTCTAGCTACTACAGCACAGCCTTCCACTGGAAACAAACTAGTATACCCATAGGTGAGGTCAAACAGTAACATTTAAAACAACAACAATGACAAAAACAATAATAGTAATAAAAATAATAATTAGTGTTTTAGGTAATTTAACAAAAACTATGAAAAAAGAAACTTATACACCAGATTTAAGTTTTATGTACAGTCAATTTACAATTTCTTTTCTTGATGGGAGTTGATTGCCATTACATAACTTAATATCAAAATGGGCAGACGGAAACTTTTAGATCGAATGACTCAAAGGCCGGCAACAACCGCCACCTGCATGGTTTTTCATAAAAACAAACAAGGAGAAGGATCAGACGTTCTTTCTGCATACTAATTAATAGTTGTAATTAAAGTAATAAAATGTATATTTTGCAGGTGTCAAGATCGACTTCTACAGCACCTCCAGACAAATTTTACAGGGTTTCCTGAGATTGCAAAATTTCCTCAAAACTTGCTGTGCGTCAATAATAGCTACATAAAACTGACTTTATGATTAGCAGCTTTCTTTCAAGCTTATCTGTCAAATTTATGTTTGTCCGGATTTTAGTTTGTTTAAGCTTTCAGGGAACCACCTATGAAACCCGTACATAGATTAAAAATTCAAAATTTATGTGATAAAGTCTTACCATGATTCTGGTATTACAGAGGAAAGCCGGTGGGATAAGTGAAACCCTAAAAAAGATACAAGTTAAGCTTAATAGTCCAGAGGGGCAAAGATCACTTGAGTATGAACAAGAAGCGCGCCACTAAGGTAGCTTCAAGTTTTTAAAAATAGGTTTGATACACTTGACACCTCACCTAGTTTTGCAACACTTGCAAGCAAAATCCACAAGATTATTGTCAAAGGTGCTGATACATAATCCCAGTCAAACTTGGCGACTTTCAGTGGAGGCGGATCTTCGTGTTGCGGGTCTTCTTCGGTGTCGTTCGTAGAATTGTTTTTACTCGAAGGTTCATCAAGCGATCCGTTTATATGGCCAGTTAACACGCCTAAAATAAGAATCCCTGCTAGGAGATTCCTCAAAGACATCTTCCCTGTTCTTCTTTGCTTCGTTAAGATATTCTCTCGATCCAATATAACGACCAGTATATTCCCTCCATTGAGCCAAGATTTCTTCTGCAACAAGTTTGTTCTTTTGCATCAAGAGAAGATCTGGAGGCCTGGTAACGAGCTGAAACAAAAGTCTTCAAAAACTCATTACACCTGCCATGTAAGCAGTCACGAAGTTTGAACATAAACAAGGAAGTCTCGACATCAACGACGACAACCGTTAACCTGAAATTCACGTGACTTTTGACATACTGTTACAGCATGAACAAGGCTGTTTACAGAGGAAGGCATTTCTTGATCAAATTCAAAAACCTCTTTGGCACTGGAAGGTCTGTTGTCCTGTCACCAAAATTATGCAGTGAAGATCTACAGGGTCAAAAACAAACCGTACGTAAGAAGTTTCTGTGTGCCTCGTATATATTTGTATTCCTTTCGAAGTCAATGGCTCTATTACGCTAAAGTTTGCTTATGATCTCAGCTTGATTAAAGTTAATTAGTACGGTAGTAACGAGCACATAAACCTACTAAACCGCTTGCTTTTATATAAACTTGGCAATCGTAAAAAAAAAAAATAGGGAAAATATTAAAAATAGCGCTAGTTAAGAAAAACATCAGAGATGAACTACTTTGGTACTTGCTTATGAGACTATGAAAGTATCGTGTTTTAACAAACAAAATCACAGAGCTTCATCACAGAGAACAGACAAGCCCCGCGCCGCAGTACATAAAAACGTAAATATAGCGAACTTGCTGTGACTTGCTGAGCTGTAGCGATATTTTAAGGTGGCATTTCTTTTTCCTTTCACCTGACCAAAGTTAATTCCGCTTATTTTTTTTTCTGCTTTTAACCTTTTTGTTTTTGTTTAAATAAATTGCGTAATAGATCAACCACCAAAACGCAGAGCAAACTGAAGGGGGCGGAGTAGGGGCGTGTGCGCAAGATGGCGATAGAAGCTGAACAATTTGTGGATTCGTACAAACGATATGTGCCCTGGAGAAAATTTTTGAAAGATAATATAATAACCTTATTATTATTATTGGATATTCACGTTTTAAATAGCCTTAATTTGACGGCTTTTTGTATTAACGCAGCATTCCGATGCTTTCAATCAGAAAGTAAGGCAGTTGGTTGATCTTTTTTTATAAACTCCGCTGTGTAAAAACACTGCTGTCACAAGTGGTCATGGGTTCGTCGTGTCACAAGTAGACAGCAAGTAGACCAAGAGCTACATTAGAAGAGTATCAGACTGGAAAAGGCCTGATTTACAACAATTTTTCGCTGTAAAACTGCACAGGTCAGAAACAGAAGGTTTTAGAAGGGTAATCATAATTTGTGTAAAATATATTTGAAGTTCAGTGAGCCCGTGTATTGGTCACGAGGCCGGATGGGAAATTTTTATCCCGCCAAGTTTTCGTGGTTGAATATAAACATTATGTAAATGTTCAGGCAGTAACAGTTGTGTCCTGATGAGAAAGTAGAAACATCCATGTTTTAAAATCACTGATGCGAGCTGAATTAGTTGCTCTGTCCGGAAGCGCATTATTTTGAATCAATGCGCGCTATGGCATTCAATACCCCTGGCTCAGCCAGGAATTTCTGTTTTTGCCTTGAAACTGCTTTGATTCAAAGGCCAAATTTTTATAGGCTCTCCCAACCCCCACTACAGCCTAAAGAGTTAGGACTTTAATTATAGCATTTTTTTGTTGCTTCTGCAGAGAAAAATGAGTTCTAAACCAATTTATAAACCAGCTGACAGACTTCTTGGACATGACAAGAATGTATGGTATGTATATGTAAAGTAAGCGGCCATCCTCAGGGTACGGGCTAATGGCCACTTTTTGGCTGCTCAATAGGGATTCATTGTAAAAATCAGCATAATTTTTAGCAGAAACTGATCATTTTTGTTTTAAACAAATTTGTGACATGAGTGCTCAGCATTACTACACCACAATCAGCCCTGACCCTTAATCATGGACTGAATTTTTCTTCATCATACAGTGAAACCTCAATGTAACGAACCTCTTTAATGGTATAACGAACGATTTTCTTTTCCCCAGGAATAGTAAAGTATGTGAAAAAGAACCTCCAGATAACGAAACCTCATTGTAACAAACACAGTATGCCAGTCCCCTGGGTCTTTGTTTTATCGAGGTTCCACTGTATTTTGAAATAAAGTCAAACAACTGTATGAGCAATACATTAAGGTGATTCCATAGTAAAAGAACCTAACATAGATTATAGCTGAAACTTGGTACACTGATGTAACAAGTCAAGGTAATGATAAAAAAGTAATAAAAAGTAGGGGTCACCGTGCTCGTTTTGACGTCACAATGCTGCCAAATACGGCTATTTAGGACCCTTTTACAAAAACCGCGGGCAGCCCAAAACTAGACAAAAAGGAGAGATTTTTTCAATGATGCATGTGGCATCACACAGAATTTGACTTTAATGTATTGTTTATCTACTTACGTAACAGAAAAATGCCTTTTAATGCCCTTGTTTTTACTTTATGCTCCAAAGTAAAATTAAATTGGACGCGCGCTTTTCGACCCGTGATGGCTCAATCCGTACAATTTACTAAAATTGCCAAAAAACTGAACATACATTTGTGCCAATTTTCTTTTTCATCGAAAGAAAGCACTGTCCTTATTAAAATCATGAAATAAAAAATGGGGGTCACCGTACTCGTTTTTGCGGTAGAGCTGCAGAAAGTGCGCACCAAATGCATTTTCTCCGATTTTTGAGAGAGGACTGGGGCGAGTTTCAAAATAAAAGATATGTGAAAGGGGGAAGAAAGTATTAAAAAATCCGTTTTTACAGAATTTACATCGAGATGTTACATTTAGGACACAATGTGATAAAGAAAGTGTTTAAATGAAAATCAAAGTGAGTAAGGACAAGTTAAACATCAACTATCGAGGTTCTCCAAGAGGAGGTCGAACTCAGCAACACGCGTACTGCTTACGTTATGCGCATTCCCAACACGTTGAGTCTCACCTCGGCAAGAAACAACAGCAAGCAAAAATTCCAATAGTGTTTCTCTTCAGTCAACTTCATTTTAATAATGTTACTTCACATGTTCTTTTTTACGGCAGCCATCTTGTTATGCGCAGTAAGAGATGCGCAGTGCAAAACTAGGGAATCACCTTAAGTAGTTATTGTAACTTGATCAGTTGCCTTTTTATGTTACAGGGTGGAGTTCACTGCTTTAGCAAGGAAATGTAAGGCAGTTAATTTAGGGCAGGTGAGAAATGGTTGAATGGTAATTATTACCAACCCCCATTCAACAGAGTTAATTTAAAGAAAATGAAACATTCCCTTTTACTAGACTAGAATTTCAGCAAGTCTGTAGGCAATGAAAATAGATATCAGCATATTGTGAGACAGTGATACAGATGGCTTTTGCACAAAGTCTTAGCCTACATGTAGCCGCACCCTCTCCCCGACAAGGGAAAAATGGAAAAAAAAAACATTTTTCATTTGTCGGGGGAAGGGTTGGGCTACACGCAAGCTAACAAAGTCTTTGCCATTCAGTCCAGGGGCGGATCCAAAGGGTGCACTGCGTCTCTTGCTCTTTCAACACCAATAAACCAGTTTTTTTTTTTTTTCAGAATACCAGTTTTAGAAAAAGGTCATTTGGATCTCCCCTGCAGTCAATATAATGATTGCTACAAGTTATGTAATATTACTGTTAGTCTTACATATTTTAGACTTTCAACTTGATGCTGAGAAAATTAAAACAGTCTTGCTAGACAACCATTATACCTCACTTTGATTGTTCATGGACAGAGAACAACATACTGGACATTACTCAAGTCATACTTGTGGCTTGAATTAACCTTAGTTTTAAACCCCAACATCAAAATTCAAATTCTCATTAGTTGTTTCTATATGTTTCCTATAGAAATAGTGGGGAGAATATGTTGAAGGATCAATGAGATTCACCTTCTGTGATCATGTCCTTAATTCTTATGACCTCTCTGTTTTATAAAGCACTGATATTAGATAGAGAAATGTCATGCTCAACACTCGTAGGGCATGTAGTACCACTGGGTGATTTTGAGTAATGACACTATATAATTATGTATAAATGCTATAATAAACTGTGATTTAGACATCAAACCTTTTTTTTAAAGGGATTTCCAGATTTTGCTCCACCACCCATCATTTCAGAGGCTCTTGGAAAAGTTGCGTCAAGTAGTGACATCTCTGTTAACCAATACACAAGAAGTCAGGTGTGTGATTGTAATTAATATTTAATGACATTGTGCTTCCTTTATCCTGTGCCTAGTTTGGTGTTTGCAGTCTAACTAAACTGTGTTGTAGTAGCAACTAGTAGTAGCACCTTAATTTTGTACTGAACAGCAAGCTTATTATTTTTCCTTGACCTTCAATGTTCCCCTCAGCTTGATATTTCATGGTCCTGGGGAAACAAAGCTAATGACTATTTTCCTTGGGTCAGCCAGCAGCTGCTGGTTAATATCATAGGCTGTAAAAGAACTTACTTATCTGGCTCGAATTGCTCTGGGAAACAGAGACATGATTTTGAAGTAGAAGTGATGAAGTAAAAAACAGGCTAGCCAAATAAATAAGCATGCATATTTTGTTTTCTTAGCTACTTCCCAGTTGAGTGCGTCATATGTACAGTACCTGGTTTACAAATAGTACAATCCAATAAGCACTGTGTTTATTGTTAGCCAAAATTCTGGAGCATCATTGTGTAAAACAGTCAAGTATGCAGTGATTTTTGTCACCTCTGCATCCTGCATCCCTGATGCATAAAAATCCTTGAAGGTGCAAAATAATTGATTGATTGATTGATCGATCTGAAGATGCTTTTGAAGAATATCCTGTGTGTGTGATTTCGGTGGCTGTTATGACCCACGTACTTCTTGAAGATTTTTACCTATTTGGAGATTGCATGTGCACATCAAATGAGGCACTGACAATCAAGGGAGGCCCTATTAAGTTCTTTAACAGTTTGATACAGTCAGATAGTGCAGGTCACTCAAAATTAGTTTATGCAATACATCTGGTTCTCTTCACTGACTCGCAGGAAAAGAAACTGTCATTCTTAATTGATGGTGGTGTCATGAGAGTTTGCCTTATGAATAATGATGCTGTCACGATTTTTTTTTTTCATTTTTTTTCTTCTTAAAAACAAGTGAGTGAGGGGATCGGAAAGGGGGAGCTTAATACAACAACATAGTATAGTTAATAACAAATTATTATTTTGCCTCTATTATTCAAGGGACATCCAAGATTAGTCAATGCAATCGGAAAACTATACACAACTCTGCTGAAGAGAGAAATTGATCCTTTGTCTGAGGTAAGCTCCAAACTGATTTTAGTTTCAGTCAAACGTCCATGCAAACAACCATCTCTCAATAATTAATCAAACACTTCTCATGAGAGTCTTTAAGTATCATACTTGAAATCTCTGATAAGCAGTCACCACATCTAGACAACTGTGACCACTTTCTTAAGAAAAAATTTTTCATTGTAAAATGTGAGACCAGTTGGCATGTGGTCTGATTTCTAATGGTGCAAATTATATAGTTCAAGGCCACATCAGCTTTCTTACACAACTTGGTTATCACTGAGAATATTATGAAGGAAACCATTTTGGTTAAACTCAGGTGTGTCATTATCAGTTTTAAATGAACTGAACTGAATTGTCATTTTATTTTTTCAGATTTTGATAACAGGAGGAGCTTATGAGTCTCTGTTTTGTTCATTTCAAGGCCTGATAGATCCTGGTGACGAGGTACATAAGTGACAAGCGCAAGTTATTTTGTAAAATCTGGTGCTAAATAGAATAAAATTTAATTATTGTCGGCGTCACTCAATGGGGGAGGCAGTGGTAATTAACATACGCCCAAAATGTGACCGAAAAACCCAACTTTCCAAGGACATTTTTTGTAATGTACTAAAAACTACCCAAATACTCAGTATACTTTCTCAGCAGATTAAAACCACTGTATTGTACCCTACATTCAAGACCCTGGCCAACCCTGAATCCTTTGACTAATGAGACTGATGATACAGTTCATGTATTCTCTCTTTCCCTTGAGTCTTAATGATAAACTTTTCCCCCTCTGCTCTCTCAGTTTTTTCAAAAATAAGCCAAGTGTCTCTGGCCATTTGATGAACTTACATTTTGGCATGCGTCAGAATATTTCTTTTTAATGGCTACCTCTGCTGAACCACTTGAAGTTCTACACTGTACAGTACCAACCACTTGTAATAGCCCTTATACATGTGTACATCAGTCACAAAAAAATTTCACCACCAAGTCAATATATGAATTTGCAAAGTTTTACTTAGCCTGAGAAAACAGTCAACATTTTGCAACAGGGGGGGAGGGTGGTGGGGGGTTGCTCACCACTGGTTTCCCTAGGAAGTGACATCTGAGAAACGATTGCAGAAATTCCATTCTGATGATACATCACTACCCAGATCTGGGTAGTGCTTCTGATTGGTTGTGCTGTCTGGGAATTTTGCTTCAGCCAGTCAGAAGTGCGACTCAGATCTGTACAGTGACACGTCTTCAGTATGGAATTTCTGCGCTCGTCTTTCAGACACCCCCTGAATTTAAGGCAGTGTCAATTATTTCCACACTGTGCTGCATAATTTAATTAAAGTTAATGATTTCAACTTTCTCTCTTCAGGTTATAATCATTGAGCCATTTTTTGATTGCTATTTGCCACAAATTGCATTTGCTGGTGGAGTTCCAAAATTTGTCACTCTTAAACCTGTAAGCCCACTTTCAAACTAATTTCAGTTATATACAATTTATTAATTGAATTATACTAACAATGATACTTTTTGTTCACTTGAACCTGACAAAAGAAAACATGTCGTGTGTAGCATGTATTAAATCATGAATACACTGCGACAGTTATGACTATACACAAAAGGGTAAAATTGAAGAACAGCCCCCCAAACAATCTGCTAGTATACTGTTGACCACAGTCTACCGACAGATGACCGACGGTCAGCCAACAGATGACCAACAATGGGCCGACAAATGACCAACAGCTGTTCTTCAATTTTACCCTTAAAAAAAAGAGTATACCATGCCATACTGTACAGTTTGATGTTCTTGTCGGTTTACACAGTTGTTTTTTCCACTGAGTTTTCGCAAATGGTTTCTTGTTGTGATTTTCTTCATCAGAAAGAAAATGCTACTTCCACAAAGGACTGGATTTGGGATAAGGAGGAGCTAGAGTCGGCGTTTACTGAGAAGACCAGGGCAATAGTAATTAATACTCCACACAATCCCATTGGAAAGGTGAAGTTCCACAGTGCATTATTCCTTTAGATGCATGAGGCAAAGTAGATTTATTTGTTAGCATAAGAGTTGCCGTAATTGTTTTTGTTAAGTTATTGAAAACTTCATAGTAGGTTGAGTATGATCGTTTGCCAGTGAATGCAGTCCTGAACAGGACTGTTGTTGACAGTTACTGACATTTTGACAACCTGTGTCGGTTAAGTCAAGGTGAGTTGTATCACCTCAGTTGATGGTATTAAACTCTGGTTATTGATCTGATTGGTCTTTGACTCTGAAGAGGGCTACCGTACTACCGTACAGGTCTACAGGTTGTCGAAGCGTCAGTCACTGTCAACATGCTATTCAGGATTACATTCACGCGGACGATCATACTCAACCTACTGATGAAATGACTCCTGAGTTCAAACCTTTCACAGTGTTATGGAACTGTTTTATAATAAATCGTCTAGGTGCTCAGTATGGAAGAGCTACAATTCATTGCAGATTTGTGCAAAAAGTACAATGTGATATGTATTAGCGATGAAGTGTATGAGTGGCTTGTCTACAATGGAATGCAGCACATTAGGATTGGTAAGGAACTCGTACCTCTTAAACTTGGAATCTAATGAGTGGTAATTCTGTCTTTCCTTCCATCCAGTAAACTTGTACCCTGGGTTTTAAATCTCTTTTTTTCGCCTTGCGGGAGAAGTCCCTGACATATATTTGAGGACGAAACTGAGAGGTCCTGCAGTTTTTTTACCATGTACAGTATTAAAAAACCTCCTCCCTCCATAAGCTGTGAGATACAAGTCATTGCATTCCAAACATTCACATATTTAGTGGAGTATCATGCTGTATACTTATCCATTGTACCAAAATATTGAATGCCCGACTTGAGGATTATCATGTGTTTCTAATGAGGCAAACCATGTATGAGCAGAGTATAATTTATGTACAGGTATTAACATCTATTGGCATTACAAAGTACAAATTTTAATTATTTCTTATCTGTCTTGTTTTATTTCATCACTAGCAACTTTACCTGGAATGTGGGAGAGAACAGTAACAATTGGCAGTGCTGGAAAGACATTCAGTGTTACAGGGTGGAAGGTAAGGGATTCAGCTCACATCATTTTCCAGCTCATACTGACCAAGCTAGACTATGAGTAGTCCCTCGTTTTTCAATCACACACCTCTCGTTTCGCTCGCCCTACTATCCCTGAGGAAAAATGAGGGACTACTTGTAGTCTATGACAAAGCTAGCCAAAGAAATATGGTTTTGCAATGTGTCCTTTTCTCCAAAAATTACTAGCACTTTAAACAGATTAGCCTAATATATCTGTTGTAGTTAATTTTTTATCTCAGTTAATTTTTATTTTTTCATTGTTTTTGGGTGTGGTAATGTACTGTACTATAATGAATATGAAAAGGAAAAATAAAAATTACCTGAAATAAAAAAATAATTAACTGCAGCATATCCATAATGAGAATTAATTCAAAACATAAAATCATATTTATAGTTTTTGAAGAGAGTAAATAAATGATAGATGATAAATGATGGTGGTGATGATGATGCATGATCATAACTATTGTTCCTATAAAAATTAATGATAATATTGATAATAAGGTACATGTCGGTCTAGAATCTTTTGTCTGCATTTTGAATGTTCAGTTCTCTGTCAATACGCGTCAAGTCCCTTCTTGTTCTCATGGATATGTTGTAGTTAATTTTTTATTTAAGTTAATTTTTATTTTTCCATTGTTTTTGGGTATCGTAATGTATGCTAATGAATTTATAACAAAGGAAAAACAAAAATTAACTGAAATAAAAAATTAACTGCAATAGATACATCCTTATGGTACAAATGTGGAAAAATACAGCTTATGGTTTAAAATTTGAGAATGAATAATACATTCATTGTTATTGTTGTCAGATTGGTTGGTCCATAGGTCCTAAAGAATTAATAAAGAATTTACAAACAGTGCAATCACAAGTGACATACACCCTTCCCACGCCAACACAGGTACTTTATTTTATTTATTTTATTTGATGCCAAATTTATTTTAACATTATTGTAATATTTTAAAATGATATGCAAAGTTATATCTGCTTGGCAGTTTCCTTTCACATGCAAAGTTCTTTTAACCTGTGACATGTTACATGTAAGTTGCAAGAGTGATCAACATCAATTTTCTCCTGATAATAATTATGCATACGTAATCAAGAGAAGACATAATGAGAATTAATAAACATGGTCACTTGAGGGAAAATTCCTTGATCTTTGTTAATTCTCTCAGCTTATTTTTTAACGAAATGTATGGGGATCAGTCTGGAAAACTGATTTGTATGTGGATATTGAGGATTGAATTAGTTCAAGACAGCGTAAATGTATCAACATGAAAACGTAATGTGTGTCCCATCCCCATTTAATCTATCCTATTTCCTTTCTTTAATTGTTCTAAAAAACAATAAATGATTGTATTATTTCATTCTATTCTTTTTATCTTGTTTATTTAAAGGAAGCCCTAGCACAAGCTTTTGAACATGAGATTCCTCTTGTTGGAACAGAAAAGTCATATTTTAAGGAACTTAGCAGTATGCTGGAGAAAAAACGTGATCTCATGGCCAAACTACTCACTGATGTTGGCTTCAAGCCTACAATACCTGAGGGAGGCTATTTTATGATGGCTGACACCTCTGACATAGGTAAAGCAAGTTTGATTGATAAGCCTTTTCCTCGTACAATTATTTTATAGTTTGTATCGAAATTGTGGTTTAAATCAGTAAAGCACAGAAAATGTTTATGTAGCCACAGCATCTTAGAGTTGATCTTTAAAGTAATTTAAAATATAGACCTTTTTTCTGGCACTGGAGTCATTTGCCAAAATTTATCATTTGCTTTAATACAGTAGAACCATATTAATATAAACCACCACTGACTGGAAAATGACAGTTTTTATTACTACACTTCTTGTAATCATACTTTTTAAATTATTGTATATCTTTCTAAATTATTCAATAACAGATGTATACATTGTAACTGTGTAATTTCTCTGCTGAGTAATGTATATACTGTACTACACACTTTAAATGAGTGGAAAACTCAGTGTAGTTTTTGCCTTTTCACTTTTCAATCAATCTCACACAAAGCATCATTTTTCCATCTTTTACATGAAAAGCAGTAGCTTAAAATTATTAAGAAGGGCATAATGTTCAGTCCATTTGATTTTGGCTGTCACATCACAGTAGTGTGGCAATGTAACAGGTCACCTTCCCAGAGCTATTTCTTAGGGAGCTTAAGCAACTACCGCAGCCACAGCAGCGAAAATGTCACCTGGAAAGTGAGTTCACACTGTTTCAAAATTTATTACTTTTGTTCCATTTCAAACAATTTATTGTTGGGAATTCTTCTGGAGTTGAATGTAAAACAAAAAGAAGCATGATGCACGTGCAAAGTTGTTGCTTTTCTAATCTAGACCAATTGCTTTTTTGCCGCTCTCGTTGCCGTCACCATCGTCATTGCTTAAGCTCCCTAAACCTCTCCAATATGATATTGAAAGGTGGGAGACATCACCAAACAAAAAAACTTAATTGTTATTTTTATGCTCACAAATGAGATCATGCCATAAAGTCATATTTATTTGATACATGTTAAATGCAGATGTGGATTTTGATGAATATGACAAAAGTGATGACCCTCAGGACTACAAATTTGTACGCTGGCTGACCAAAGAAAAGGTATTGAGTTTCTACTCTTAACTTTCACCCTCCTGCCTGATAATAACTGGATTGTACTGGGCCAGTTAACATATTGAATGTCATTTGCTTAATCCAAGGCCGTACTCAAACCTTGGGTCAAAGGTAGCAACACTTAAAAAAACAAAAAGAAAAACAATGGTCAGGGAAAAATCTGGGGAATCATGGAAGTACTTAATTAATTTTCAGTTTGCCATAGGGTTTTTTGAAGGTTATCAAATGAATAAAATGAAAAACATTCAATTTGAATTTGCTTGAGTTTTATTTCTCCATAAATCTTAGAAAACTTCCAGGTCTTGTATATGTAAAGAGTAAGTCAAAAGTGGGCAACTCTGTTCTTGCATGGGACCTTCAATAATTGATTGACATAACAGTTTCCCTTTTTAATAGTATAATGTTTTACCATCATTTTGAGTCATTTTGGAGATGTGACATGCAGATGTGTTACTTAGATTAAAGTCGAACATCTACACATACAACGGCCACCTTGGGACAGAAGAAAGTGGCCGTTGTGTAGAGGTGGCCATTATAAGGAAGTTGGGGTGTTATATGACAATTTTTTAGGGAGTACAACATGTTTTTTTTGTGCTAAGTTCATGCTTACTGTATCCCATAATCATGGTAATCCAGTCATATATACTTTATAGTGATAATACACAAGACACTTGAATTATGTCATGAATCAAAAATAATGTTAATGTGACAAAACAAGCAGGGTTCGCAATTACGCAGCTGTATAAATGAAACAAAATACGATTGCCGTGATTGATCATAAATGTGCCGTACAGATCAATTCGTGACCATTCTTGACTTTTTCATCAGTCGCTCAAAAAACTGGCCATTGTTGAGAGGTTGGTAGTTGGGGACATGCATTTGTTGCCATTGCCATTGTAGAGAGGTGGCTGTTGTGGAGAGGTGGTCGTTAGCGGAGACTCAACTGTATGTAATTAGTAAGGCTTTCATTAATATCTTGGTAAGCACTCAGTAACCAGTTTGATGTCTTACTTACTAGGGAATTGCCGCTATTCCCCCGAGTGCATTTTATTCTGCCCAGAATAAACACTATGGAGCCAAGTACATTCGGTTTTGCTTTATCAAGGTCAGTATGCAATAGTATTCAGCCTCTTGATCTGATGCCGCTAGTTCCATCCAGACTCCTCCTCAGGCCCTTCGTTTTTCTCAGTATTCAGTCTGGTGATGAAACCGCAAGGGACCATGGGAAGGGTTGATTTTCATTGAGACATCTGGCACTAGTTCCATCATTAAATAACATTTTTTGGTTGTGCTTTATATAACTGTTTTAATGACCTAAATAAACTTGGTGCCAAAAAATCACTCCTACCTATGGCTCTTTAAGTTCCATCGGTGAATGAGTTTTGAACATTTTGCCACTCATTGAACATTTTGTCTACTGTGCATGGAAAATTGTGGATTTGTTAAATAAACTCTGAGTGTAATAACTAGTGGTACGGTCAAACGCCCCATAAAGCAACCACTAGGCTTTTAGCCAGACATTGAAAACTGGCTGTCCAGAAGGCATGTTTTCCCATTAAAGTATAAGAGATTAAGTGAATTTTCCTTGTTTTTCTTCCAAAAATGGGTGTCCATAGGACGGCTGGACACCCTTCTGGCTAAAACCTTAGCGACTACCCAAAAATACAAGGATTTTAGCTGCTTGCAGTTTCAGGAGGTGGTCATACGTTGAGGTTCAACTGTATTTTGATTCTTTAATCACTCTGTAGGAGGACAGTACACTTGAAGCTGGTGCAAAGAAATTGAAAGAGTGGAAAGAAGAACTTGAGAGCAAAAAATGACATTACACGGCTGGCAGTAGGGTTTGGTCACAGTAATTTACAGTAAAGTCAAACTTGCCATGAATTATTACAATTGGCTGCACAGCCAAAATTTTATTTATTAATTTCTTATTTTCATCATTATTTTGAGTTTAGGGAAATTTGAAAAGGTTTCAGGAAAATTAAATAACAAAAATATTATATCTCTCATTAATGAGTTCAAGGTCCACACTGTACATGTACATTAAGGACCAATTTTTTTTTTTTGACTTGGGTTTCATGCACTTACCATAAAAAAGGTTCCGTAACTTACACTGTGCAAACTTACAATGTGCAAATTTCTTCCAACTAGTTGGGAGAAGTTAAAAAAAATAATGATAATTAAAATTATAGTTGTTGCTCTATTTTAAAGACAGTTAAATGCATCTGAAGTAGTATACTAGCTATGAAATCTATGGAATCAATTTGAGTGAGGGGTAGCACATCCTACTCTTTCATTCCTTTGATAGTAAATTTCACATAAAAATAATGTGATAGAAATGTACACTGATATTTTATCAATTTTAAGTTATGAAGAGTATACGTATTGTGAATATAATACATTCTTACTGTAGAATGTAGATGGTCAATAGATGGTTGTATCATGTGTAAATTATAAAAATCATTAAACGAATTTAACTTTTGGAGAAACATGTCTATTTTTAATGAGTCAGGCTTTCAAAGTAACCGAGAATAAACCTACTGTCAATTCCCAGCAAATAGCTTGATCTTCAGTGCGAATACTATAACCGTGGCCTCCTTGACAAAGTTGACCAATCGGATTACAGGAAAATCACAATGCATTCTGAGAAAGTTAGTTGTCAATCATCATTACCACGAAACGAAATAAACAATAAATTATGGATCAAAATCAACTAATTACAACCTACAGATGTGACCTTTTGAACCCGCTGAAGAAAGTCCGTGTTTCTTGAGAGGTCAGTTAGAGTTAATGACGGAGGCGAAAAACATAAACATTCGTTATATTTTTTACTTGAAGTCACATGTCATTGCAAAGCGTGGCAATTGTAGCGAGGAAATTGCTGGTAGATGAAAAAATAACAGCGTGTGTCAAATATGCCTCCAGGGTGTTGTACGTAAAGTTTCAAAAAGGAAAAAGTTGACTAGTGAAACATTTTTCCTTCTTGAAAAACGTTTGCTATCAACATTTAAACATTGTGCTTCAAGTAACTTATTGTTTTTTTACAAGCTGCTGATTGGCCCACAACCAACTTTCTCTGAATGTATTGTTATTACATGTATTTCCTGTAATCCGATTGGTCAACTTTGTCTAAGTGGTCCCGGTTACACTTGTCGCACTGTAATGTGACTACAAGTCACCACAAAGACATGACAGTCCCATCTACAGTGGATGCAAAAGAGCCTTAAATTGAAAATGAGTGTTTTTTTACTTAGATAAGTCAAGATCATTATTACTGCTAGAATGGCTGTCGTGGACTTATTAGTTGCGATTACCTTGTCGTAAAAGAAATGTTCCATGCAATACCCATTAATTAACAACTGTGGGTGAAATGCAGTGTCAGTATTGAAATTAAGAAAAACAAATTATTGAGATCACAGCAACTTTGGTGGAATACATGTACTTTAAAAGTAAAGAACAACAAAAACTTTGCACAGGTTTGGATCAACTTTTTAATAACTATGCTTGTTCTTGTTAATAGTGAAATATCTGTTATAAAGTTGTGCCCTGGTCCTTACCTGGTCCCTGTACAGTGTTCTCCCAGTCCCTATTGGTCAATTCATTTCGGTGACATATCCGAGGCGAATGGGCAGGAAATATTTTCGCTTGGACCATGTGACCCGAAATGCTTTGGCCGTGCATAATAATGAGGCCTAGAGACTAGGCAACCCTGGTCCTATACAGTATCCCTGGGGATTATAGATGCAAGCTATTTAAAACTTTCTAAAATGCTAATAGAAGGAGCTAATAGAAAGTAGCATTTTATGAACAGGCTGGCACATTTGCTCTACAACGGATTTTCTGTAATGTTAAGGTCGCATTCTAATTGAATTTAATAAATCTTGGTTGAATTTTCAACAATCTTTTATAGCCCTGCTATATTAATTTTCACCAATACTTTATAATTTGCTCATTAGATTTCTTTCAATTACTAAATGCAAAAAACAACAACAACTCTAACAAAAATAATTCTTTAAATTTAATTGTATCAATACTACCAGTACATGAAGAACATACCAAATAAAAATAAAGAAAAAATAAGTAACTCTCTAAAAAAGCTGACAAAAATAAAAACAGCTGATAGTTTTGATAACCACCAACCACATTTTTTTGGACCAGATAATCTAAAATATAGAAATTGTAATAATTTTCAAGGTAACACCTTAAAATTCCAGTTAGCTTAAAATGTCTCAATTTCCATTTTTTCCATTTTCTTGTTCCCCACTTCCCATTTTCACAAATAGAACTGAAGGAATACAAAACAACAACATTGTCAACATTAATTGAATTACCTTGCCAGTTTAAAAACTTTTGAAAACTTCTCTTTTATCCTGGGTGGCCTGTGCATCTCCTTACTCCCTGTAAGGTTGGATATAGGAATTTTAATCTTTGAGCTCACCATTGAAACTAATATTTAGAACTAATCATTTCCAACCTTATGCTTCTATTAATAATGAAGATCCATATTATGCTATAGGGCTCAAAAAAAGTCCCGTCAGGACAAGTAGCTTTATTCTTGCAAGGCAAGTACCTTTTATATCTGACTTGCCCAATGGGGAAGGGTCCACGCAAGTCTACCCTGCGAACAGAGGCCTTTGGATATTCCTAGATGGGAAGATGGAAGGGCCTCTGCTCACAGGGTAAGGCAAGTCATCCTCAAACTAAAATCATAAACTAAGACAAGCAAGTGGTTGCCCTAGGCTTGGCAAGCAAAATGTGAGCCACTGCATGGCTGCAAATTGCTTACTACAACCCTGGTCAAAACTCTTGGGACACTAATGCAAAATCATGTCAAAAACATTAATTTCACCTGCCACTCAAAATAGTGTCCATTGAACCCCTCAGTGCAGTGTTGACAAAAATAATAATTCAAGTTTTAATTCAACAAAATCATTACACTGCTCAAGGAATAACTGGGTATGTTTAAAGTTGCCCCATTATTCAACATCTGTCATTTTTTTTGGAAAGAGGTAGAATATGAGTTAATTTAGCAAAGTGCATCTTTGTGCCTAATTTCCTCAAGTGTCCCAAGACGTTTTGACCAGGGTTGTAGACACTTAAGGTGCTCGTCAAAAGACAGGACTGGCCAGCCAGACTGACCATTTTGAAAATGAAATTTTCTGCCCATTAGTGCCTTACATACATTTATTTTAAAGACTGATCTGGCTGAACGGTCCTGACAAATAGTGGAATTCTGTTTATGACTGGACTCTTGACTGGCCAAATTTTATTGTGCAAGTTATTTTAGTAAACTAAGAGTGTTAACCATTAGTCAGAACTGGCTATTATTATTCTTGCCGATCAGTTTTTATTATTGGATGAATTATTATTTAGAGGGGGTCTGTAGCCCCTTCCAATTGCCTGGATCTGCCACTAGGCTGCCACTTGTATGGTAATTATTTTTAACAGGCTGTTAGTAATCGTGGTGGATGGTTCTTCACAGGATTCCTTCTTTGATGAAAGGACTTGTGGGCAAATGAAAACAACTCTTCATTTTGCGTTCACTCAGTCTGGATGGTGGCATATTGTTGATTGTCCTCTGTCGTGATGATACCTCTTTAGCCTTCACTTCTAACCGTAAGTGTTGCTCACAGTGTATCAAAACAGTTAACAATATTTGCACTGGATTGCGCCTCATGGTCAGTGCAAACTTTTTATGTCCAATTGCAATCAGTGACTCACAAAAACCATTGAAGTTGAGAGATGCACGGCCTGTTTCACTAGCTGGATGTCGGCGGCTCATATTGATAAACATGATATCAAATGCAGCAAGTGTGAAGCCAAAGTCTGTTAGACGACATCGTCTACAAATAAAATAATCGAATGATACACATTACATGTAAACCGGTCTAAAATTTGTTGATTGTATTCATTTTCATCATCAATGGTGTTTAACGTCTGTTTGTAGTTTGTAGGGGGCTGGGAGCATGGTCATATATGCAGACCGCTGTTATGATCTCTAAGAAAAAAAGTTGCGAAACACAAAGTGTGATCTGGGGTGCTCAGTACTTAAAACATGCTTTGTTTAAAAATTTGATTCTGTAGCTGCCATCTATTTATTAAAAATGCCTAGCTACTGTGCTGATATACTTTGAGCCCTGTAAAGGCAACTGGTATAAGCACTAGTCTGTGTGCAGATTTTATGTATTGGCGCTTGTATATTTATAGAGTCCCAAGTCCCTGAACTTCTACATGAGTGTATTAGTTTTTAGTTCTCTTCATTTATACTTTATATCAACTCTAATGGCGACAACATTGACATGCAGCCAGGGGAAAGCTGCAGTCAGTATGGATTTCACAGCCTGCACAGGATCTGCCTTAGCTATTACCAGCATGACCCCTGGCAATATTCATAGGAAAAGAATTCATAAAGCTTTCTAGCAGTTCAATTCCCCGCCTACTACTTGCAATCACCCGGCAACTTGAAATCTTACAGTGGCAGCGAGCAGCCCTGAAACATATGTAGCAATATATTGACTGTCTAATTTATACCAAGGAATTATCACCATAGTTGACAACTTTCACTTACTGAAAAGAAACACACCACCATACCTTGCCATCATTCTGAACGAAGTTGGACCCATCTTGTTGGACATGCGGACACCTACAAAGTGTCTGAACAATGTTAGACACCTTTCCACAACTCGGAAGTAATCCAGTTGCGAGGCCAGCTTGGGGTAAATTTGATGCAGACATCCGGACACCTCTGGAGGATTTTCATCACTGACAAAGAATAGAACAATGCAGTTATTCACAAATAGCAGAAGATTTGAAGGTGGTCATATTGCCATATAGTTAAAGTTGAGCTACAGTTGTACCAGTCAGAAGATATTTAAGGCAGATGGCAAGGAACAGTTCCCAGTTCCGCTGGGGCCAGGCTGGAACCCTTAGCCTTTACTAGACCTTGTGCAGCCTAACTTTGCTACCTAGTACACTAGACCAAACTTCCAAAAACCCTCCCTATCCTAGAGTAAGAGTTGATATAACTTTTCCAGAAACTTCTGAGGTTGACCCTTTTTTTTGCTATTGATCACAACTGAGGGAGTTACGGGTAAAATTTCAATCTGCTGATTTCATTTTTTTGAATGTGATCTCCCAATCTCTTGTCTAGACTGCATGTGAAATCTTCAACCCACCGATCAGTTTCCTGGAAAACAATACCCTGTTCTAGACCCAGACTCTCTGATTTCTATACCCTATCCTAGACTAAACTGCTTGAAAACCATACCCTTCATGGTGGTAAATAACCTTTATAGCCCATATATGGCAGTACCTCCCTCCCTGGGTCTCAAGGCCAGTTGTCCAGCTAACAAAGAAGTGAACTGTATGTACCTGTACCTTATGTCTTATCATCTGAGATGGAAATATAATCCGATACATAACCTCTAAAGGGACTTCTCTGAAGTGTTAATTTCCATATTGATTAGTTTTAAAGCTTTTCGATTAAGTAGTAAAATAGAGCTTTTCATTTTCCTACTTTCTTGACTTTAAATAAGCAATTTCCACCACTGTAATGGATTGGTAACCTCACATAGAGCTTTGAAGGCATGGTTCATCCATTGGATGTGAATGCGCACGTGACAAGGCATTATCTAAAGTATCTAATTTAAATCCATACTAAGATGGAAAACATAATGTATCAGACGGATTATACCATCTGTCTTGATGGATCATCCTTCTCAGGTGTGAAAATGGCCATAATTTGTCGAAGCTAATGTAAACAAATAACAGTACTATAGTTTGATAAGTAACCACTTTGAATTGTACATGTACCTCTTTCTGTTTTGCCACGCAAGAAACATGGAGTCCTTGACAATTGGAAGTTTGATATCCAGATCAGTTGTGCTCACAAAGCATTCCACTTTCCCAGGACTCACCTCCTCTTCATGGTCAATCCTTAAACTTGGGCTGGAATTGACCTCAAGAAGAATCGGCTTAAGGTCTTTATCCAGCAAAATGTCAAAACCTAAGATTTGAAAGCTTCTGAGTTTACGTTTCATCTCCGCAGTAATGATTTGATTTTGAAGTTTCAAAATTGGTAAAATTGCTATAATAGTCTGACATGCAACCTTGTCTATTTCAGCCCACAAATGATGTATGTTACATCCTTCCTTTTCCAGTTGTCTGAAGACTGCACTAAGCTTTCGTTTGCTTCCCTTGTCACCTGCATCACTTTGGATATATCTTGGGCTATGCTTGTTAAGAGAATAGTTTGTTAAGTGCATGTATGTCTTGAAAATATTTTTAGGTGTCGGTGGCTGATAGTGCTCTGTGCAGAAGCGTGCCATACCCTCCCGGCATATGTATACTTGCAAAGGCTCCAAGCTCTTTAACACGACATAAATTCTAAGGTCAAATTTAAACTTCTCCAGGAGATATGGCTCTGCTATATATTCTTGTACAACGGACGACTTTGCAAGAGCAGTGCTCATGTGTACATCATGAACATTTTGAGTTAGAAAAATGCCATCGCCTTGAGATCCGCCATCAGGTTTTAAAATGAAAGTTGGTGATTTCTTTTCTCTGGTTGCAAATTCAAGAAGCTCGCCATATTCATCTGGCAATATCCAAGTTCTGGGATAGAAGGAAAAGTCATTTGGGAAAAGCAGTTGCATTCTGTTGATTTGTCTTGAGAATTCTACTTTATGGGCTGCTTCAGACATACCTAAAGAAGAACAAAATAATAAAATTGCTGAAAAATGGTATCACTCGTTGGCTTGCTAAGGTGAATTGATCACTGTGAACAGATTAACCAGTGTAGTACTTTAACATTGTGTGTACTACATGTAGTGTAGCCTGCGAAAGTTGTTTTGCCTCGCTGCTGGGGACGTTTCTGGCTGCAGGTGTACTTGAACAAATCATTTTTGCAAATAAAAATTAAAGAAAGAGGAAAAGGTCATTAAATAACCCTTTGAACCCCAGTACACATCCACGTACAATTTCTCTAGACTGATCTCCACACATTTCCTTGAAGAATTAGTTGAGATGGAAAGAAAGCATTTTTCTTTAGGTAGGTGATTATTTCTGTCTATACTCTTAACTTTATAGCCTTTTCTCTTCATGATGTCAGATATTGTTAGGAGAAAAATCAGGTTGGTCAGCTCCTTGAACTTGATGAGTTAAAAGGAAAGGACCATTTTTTTTTGGTGTGGCCCGCCTGGACCCTCCACTTGATATGCCAATGGGGAGAGCTCTTGAGACCCATATTAGTAATAGGAAATTTCAGCTTTGAAATGCACTTACTTCTCAAAAAGTAAAGATTCTGGCCACTATTGTTACAATTCATAATTAAAAACAAAATATGAAAATATAGTTTTTCTAGGTGGGTTAATTACATAATTATGACAACAATTAATTCTATTTAAACACTTCTTTTGTCCCTCCCGTTTTAAAAAATCTGGGTGGAGGGCGGTTGAAAAATCTTGCCTTCCATTGGGGGCAGGGGGCGGGGGGGTTGGAATAACCCAATATCAGTGTGTTTCTTTTCTGTGGGGAATCCATTCTTACCAAAAAATTTGTTGAGTTGCCCTGGATACTCAGGCATCTCAAAGTGTCCATCAAGCCAGTAAAAGTCACACCCTTTACGTCTACCTGTAGGAAGCTGCATCAGAAAAGAGTCACAGGTCAGTATATATAGCACTATGAAATTCAGATAAAACATTTCTCCTGATCAACTGGGAACTATTGAAGTGAAAAAAATTGTTTTTTCCTTATACCATGTAACTGCACAGAAGTTTTTGTCTTAACACCAGGAGAAACTACTTATTCAGCATTTTATTTTTCTCGGGATCTGTATTATTTTAACAGGAAAATTAACTAACAGTTATAGCTTAATGCATCAGTCAATTCCAGCAGTGCTCAGGTCCCCCCTGCTACTGCGGGGCATTTGTCCACCTTGCCAGTCTCTAGGGTGGGGCCTTTGCAAATTTAGCTCTGCCCGGGGGCTGGACATTTGCCAACCCCAGGGCTTTTCCCAAGCTTTTGACACACACATAGTTTCCTACTGGAATATAACTACACAAAGAGGATTTTACAAGAAAAACAAGCATATTGGTTTATTTCTCGAGGACAGGAAACAATTGAAGAGGTTTGTAAAGGCACAATTGTCCTTGATTTTATGCATGTATTTCTTCATTGCTTATCAAGCCAGATTTACATGGTGAAATCAGAAGCTATGGACGTGAATCAACGTTTTTCAGTTATGCTTATTAAAAATTGACTCAAATTTCTGTTGATATTATTTGAGGAACATCCTTTCATATATATAAAACTATTTGACATAACATATAACTTTCTACCGCTCTATTAATTTTAATGTCAATAATGTTATAACAATACTAAAACCATAAACTGGTGTCATCACGGTGTGAAGTCTTAATTTGAATCCTAGTGCTATTACAAAGAAGACATTAATTGAAACAAAAACATTGCACATTAAAATGCTCAAAATGGCACTATTCAACTGTGCAAACAATGAAAAATGTTGCACTGCTGACAGACTGCTGTCGATTTGCCCTCTTTTTTCGTCCCCCCCCCCCACCGGGGGAATTTGACAGCTCAAGAGTCCCCAGCCCCGCGAATTTGCCATACAAGGGAGAAAAAAATTGTGCCCGGGGGTGGGGGGATTGTTTTGGGGGGCTAGGCGCAGCTGCAATTGATCAGACTTAAAATATGTAAGCTTCATCCGTCTTAAAAAGAGCGGATATTACGGAAAAAGCAGTTAGCCCCTTTCAGTTTTTTTTTCTTTTTCTCTTTTCGTCTTTCAAGGAGTGGGGGCGCGGGGTGAGCTTGCTCTCGGACTTCGAAGATACACACGAAAATTAATAGCGCATCAACAGTCCGCCGATATAATCCAACCAACATATCTATTCAAGTGTACATACAATAGTTTTCTTTTGCATTGAATGTATTTATGATTAAGATAAATGCTAAGTAAACTTAAGTGAACGATTTGTATTGTTTCATGTGTTGACACGGTGCTGTGTTTGTTGATCAAAGACGTTCCAAATTTAGAACAGTTAAGCTATGTTTCCAAGGCCTAAATAAAAAATTTAGCAAGCACCTGGATTATAGGTTTTCTGTTTTTGTAATGAAAGTGGAAACAAATTAAATACTCACACAAGTATTTAAATAATCAAATTGCATGCTAACGTACCTCACGCCAGCCTAACTCCTTGACAGCCAAACGCACTACATCGCTACTTGCCCTCGCCCGCGATGTATCAACAGAAGGGGAATAAGCAGACCTCCTTCTTCTCGCCCTTCCCTTCCCTCTTTTAACCTCGGCAGCAAGCTCGGACACTAGCTTTCTCGGCTTTCTCCTGACCTTCGTGCCGGTTTCTGAATGAGTTACAGTGGCCCTAGCAACGCCTCCGTTGTCGCTCTCGCTAGACCATGATTTTTTCCCTGGAATCGCTGTGATCACGCGAGGCAGCTGGCGAGAAACAAGCTGCTGTATATGGCTAATGGACACTGTTTTATCCGATTCAGGATCGTCAGATTTCATCAGAGAAACCGTTAACAAAAATTCAACGTTCTTGTTTTTTGTTGTGGAACAGCTTTTGGAGAGGTACCCATCTTGGCTGATCTTTGGCGTCAGGCCCTTTGGCGTTGATCCCTCCCCCCGCGGGCTCAAATACCTTGCGGTTTACTTTAGAACTTATTCTCCCAAGATCCCGGCCAAGATGGCTTGTCAAGAGGCTTTGTTAAGTTGTCGCGAGCGAATTTATTTTTCTTTTTCGAATCTTTCTTAAATTGCTGGAAACGTTCTTTCTAATCATTTGCTCGTATTCTACGAGACAATTTGCCTTTTCATTTTTTTCACAAATCAGATAACACGTCTGGAATTTGCAGAATTTGATCAGATGGCTTTACAATTTGGCGCGCTTTTTTCTACGTTTGGAATGAATGATTGTGCGTTGTCTAAATATTTTTGTAGATCACTAAAGTTGCAACAAAGGACCCAGATTGTACACTGATAACAAGGACATACGACAACAAAAAGTTCTCGATTATCCATTGATTTTCCGTATGATACGGGAATACGTGCAAGATACGGAAATGCTGTCTAACCGCAACATTGGAACATACCCTACCACAGGGTATCGAATGACAAAAGCTTACAAGGATCTCTTCGCGCTAAATACAATCAAGTGTGTAACGTGAGTTGTAGTATGTGTTTTCGATTTCCGAGCAAGGGACGAGCACAAGTGTCCTAAATGAGCTTCTGTCCTTTATCTCCTTAAACCAGCTTTGGAAGGATCGTGGGAAACCTCAGCACTTGAGATCACGTTGTGGAATTGCTCTTTGACTCGTCTGAGTGCACAGCTGATTGTGATTTTAATCGCTCATTCATTTACAGTATTCACTTTTACCACGGCAATTAGTATCAGTAGATACTACGAAGAGGTTCTACTTCCGAATCATAGATTTCACGTTGGGCTTTCCGGAGCAAGTCGTGTTTGTGTTAAATTGAATTTACTGGTGAGGATTTTCCATGCACACTTCTTCATACCACAACGTTTGAATCGATTGCGATGTTTGATAACACTATGGAAAAACGTCCCTTTTTGAGGACCCTTCATGGAGCTCTTCTTTTCTTTCTCCTGTACTTGAACTGGGGTTTTTCTAACGGGCAAAGTGGGATTCCAGAAGGTGCGAGCTCGCTTGTTTTTGTGTTCGACACGACAGGAAGTATGTATGATGATCTGATCCAGGTGCGGGCTGGAGCCTCCAAAATTTTATCTACAACTCTCGACAGAAAAGTCAAGCCTTTGTATAACTATGTTCTTATTCCTTTTCACGACCCAGGTTAGTAAGCAGAGTTAGTTATTAAAGATACGTTGTCCAAGTTTATACATGAATTTGGAGTACAATTTTGACAACTGCACCCCAATCGTTAATTGTACTGTGAGTTTACGTTTAATAGCGGGTGTTTACTGAAGTTAGTGAAAGATAGCCTTTGTTTACGTTCATGAAAGGTAAACAGAACGACACCGGCGGAAGACTCAAGTGACTCGAGCAATAACTTCAAAAGGTCCGCGATTTTTAAAAATGATTCCCATAAGTGCCGGCGTAAAATACTAGCGAACTGAACCTATCTTAGTCCAGCTGGCCCAAAACAAGACTGAACCTATCTGAATTTAGGACAAATAATTACATTAAATTTGCTGTTTCTGCAGCGATCACGGTACATATTTGTATTGTACCTTTTTTCTTTGCACATGTGGCCTTGGATCAAACCACTGGATCTAAACAATGATGAAAAGATTATGAAGTGAAAGACTGAAACCATTTATTTTACTTATCTGATCCATTTACCTTATGTGTGGTCTGTAAACGTCCTTCTCTTTGGAATCTGTCCAATTTTAATTCTCACCCACCCTCCCCTGTGTCACTGTTTTTTTGTCATTCCTCAGGGTGGGCCAATTATCAGGGTCAATGCAACTCGAGTACTACAGTCTTAGATCCTCCCAGATGCTCTTATGGTGGGGTTTGTCAACACATTCCTTGCATGACAAAGTGCAGTCTTAAACCCTCCCAGATTCTCTTATGTAGGGCTTTGTCACACATTTCTTGCCCACCATCTGCTAAACAGAGCTGCCACTTCCATTGATCCTTGTTTCAAAAAGCTATGTTAATTTATGACCTACAGTAGGACATTATTAATCATCAGCTGCATAGTGCCTTGTAGGGGAAAACTTGTGCATAAACAGAAAACAATGAAATTTGATGTGGTGAGAAAACAACCCACTACAAAGTATATCAAAATCAGTTGAACAGACTAAGAGTAGGAAAATTGCATCACCTCAAATCACATCCCAGTTGTTTTCTGAAGCCTCCCAAATGAAATGGTGCAAACCGTAGGATTTTCCAACTGTAATTTTTGGTTTTCCCATGTCAATGGTATTAAAAGTACCGTGTGACACCATGTTGTTATCACCTTTTCACTCGGTAATCTTGGTAGGGTGATCCAAATCAACAGCTATTTTTTCTGTTCAGATGATTATGTCAGGAATGAAGACAATATAAGCCTCCATTAAAGATGTTATGTTTCTATACACGTGATCATGAGATAAACATTTCCCAGTTAAGTCATGTAGAATGTGATTCTGTTAAATTTATAAGCTGTCTTGTGTTTTGGACAAATAGCTTTTCTCTAGTTCTATAATGTTACTTCCCTGGAAGGGTACTCAACAAAGATTTATACAGGGAGGCTCCGCCCTGGGGTTCAACCCCTTACCCTTTACATACCATTTTTGACAGAAAGGGTTACCGCTTTTGTATTACTTTCTATTGACATATAGCACCCCTTTCACATACCTAGATTAGAACTTTGCATCCCTTTTAACATCTGTAAATGCACTGTCTTTGAAAATTATATGAAAAAAGCACAAAACCAGAACGTTTTTTCTTTTTTTGGACTTTTTCACAGGCAAAAAAGGCATCTTTTAGCCCTCTGGGCCTTTTTACAGACTGGAATGACAGGTTTTGCTACCCTTTCATACACTTGAACAAGAGACGTCCTTGTAACCTTTCATATACCTGAGGCCTAAAAAACATACCCCTTCTGTTCGGAGCCTCCCCTTATAGGCGGGTACCCACCATCTCCCTGGGGTTACTTCAACCATTTCTATTATAAATTGGTAGCATGAAATGAATGTTTCCTGAAAGTGAGAGAGGTATTGTGATTGGACACAGTAATTGACTTCAAGTTGGGAACTATAAATCAATTAACAGTATTATTGATCATGAATGAGTAAATGAAGAATTGTTTAGGTCCTGTTCATATTTTAGCTTCTCTTTCAACAGATGTTGGCCCTGCAATAGTAACAACAAGCCCAGACAAGTTCCAGGACCACCTAGATAATCTGTTTGTTCAGGGTGGTGGGGACTGTCCAGAGATGTCTTTGAATGCAATCACCTTGGCGTTGGAAATAAGCTTGCCTGGTTCATTTATATATGTCTTTACAGATGCAACAGCAAAGGACTTTGACCAAACTCAAAAGGTGATGTTAAGAATAAGTTTTTTTTGTATGTGAAGCCATAAATTAAGTTACAGTCGAACCCCGCTATTTCGAAGTCCCAAGGGAAATGAAAAAAGTTCGAAATAGTGGGGCTTCGAAATAACCGGGGAAGCGTAAAGGGGAAGGGTAAATCCAAGGGCATTTGAGGGTAAATCCAAGGGCATTCCATTGATCTTCCTTCGAAATAAAACTTGATTATAATATTATTATACTATTTAAGGGGGACTTCAGATGTGTAATGGTAAAAATACATTTATTATTGTTATTTTTGTGGAATTAACCGAGTTCGAAATAGCGAGGTTCAACTGTAGTTTAAAAGGTATATGTTTTTCCATTGCCAATTTTCAGTTGCCAGTCACTTCTCCTGGCATTTGTATTTACATTTACAGATAAAATCTTGATTATAATATTATTATACTATTTAAGGTGGAGGCAGCAAAAAATAAACATTTCACATAATTATGTAGTACATTTCATTAGTCAGATGTGTAATGGTAAAAATACATTTATTATTGTTATTTTTTGTGGTCATAATAATAATAATAATAATAATAATAACTATCTATCTATCTGGTTATTAGTTCAGATACTCTATCCTATGAGCTGTTGGTGACTTGTATAAGCTGAGGTCAGGACATAAATGTAGACAGGTTGCATTTGCAATGATATAAATGTGATGGTGAATTTCATGATATTTTTCAGTAAGGGACATAGGTGACTTAAAAGAAAATAACAATAATGATGATAATTATAATTATAATGATGATTATAATAATTATAATTATTATTATTATTATTATAGTACAAAATAATGTAATATATATAGGTATAGTAAATTAAAGATGGAGAAAAAGAAGAATTAACCTAGCCATAAATCATTTCAATAAGATTTAACTCTATCTTGACTCTTGCTCCTTTCACCTGAGCTCTCTTTTCTCCCTTCATGGTGATTTAAGGCCTGCTCCATGCGTGTCAAACTCCCTGTAACTTTTTGGAAGTTAAACAGAATGTTATGCAAATAGTATTTTTACACCTAAAGTGAGTTTCATCTTGACACCAGTTGCTACCCTTCTAGTCTGATGTCATTTATGGATCATGAGTGGGTCCTGGCAATTTTGCTCTTATCAACTTAACTGGTTGCCATCATTGTAGGCCGGGGAAATTAGTATGGTGATGTCCCTCCATCCTACTTATCCTACCTGTGGCATGAATTGTAGTTGCTGGGAATATCACTAAGTCATTACTGTTTATCAGTAGCATGCCTAAAATATAAATCAATATTAAATTTGATTGAAAGACCTGCTAGCTGGAGACACCTTGAATGAATTTGCCATTTTAATTTAAAGGTAATAAAGTTGATCCAGCAGAAGAAAAGTCAAGTGTTGTTTGTTCTGACTGGAGACTGTGGTAATCAGACCATCTCTGAAGGCATATCAGTTTATGAACTTATTGCTGCTGCAAGCACTGGACAAGTGTTTCAATTGAAAAAGAAAGATGTCAACCAGATGCTGAAGTTTGTAGAAGAATCTGTACAGGCAAACAGGGTAAACCTCATCTCAACAGACAATGGTGAAGCAGCAAATAAAACTTACATCGTCCCAGTGGACAATGCTCTGGAGGAATTGACCATTGCCCTGAGTGGAAAAGACTCTGTCTTAGAAATTTATCATCCTAATGGTAATATTGTGCAGTATCATAAAATGTTCATACCCTCACGTTGGAGGGAGGTTGGGAATTCCAAATGGGTCGGGGGGTCAAAGTCCCAGGAAATTCGTGAGGTAAAGGACAAGAGACTGTATAGTTAAATAAGGACCCAAATGGCACAGCACTTTAATTATTGGTAGTGGCTGCCATACCAACTTCAGCTCTGGTTGCCAACACTGCCCTTTCCTTTGCTCCAGGCTCCATGAACTTACAGACATATTCCAAAGATTGAGAATTAACTGCATCTTTGCATTTTAAGTTAGAAATGAAGACACTTAAGTGTTTGTTCTCACTTCTACTGTATTTTCAAATAAGACCAGCTCAATCTTTTCCAGTATTTCACCTAGTGCTATTTGATTTTGGGTACTCTGCAAAAAGAATTGGTACAATTGTATTTCTAATATAAATTTTGGTCATCAACATTCTCTTGAGTAAAACAGTAATACAGGCTGAGTGAAGAAGGGTTTACCCCCAAGGACATTGACAGAGTGGGCCGTCCCCCTGGTTAATTATGCATCAGAACAACTTGTGATTTTGCACAAGGTTATTCATGCTGTACCTCAGTGGAGACCAGTTGCTTGAAACATGTGAAAGCTTGAGGTCAATTCAGTTTGTAAAAATGGGTTCTCTCAACTCAACCTAAATTGGTGGACAACCCAGAACCCTTATAATTTTTTTTTATGGGGTGGGGAGGTTGAAATATGACTATGTTTATTTATTACTGTGGTTGGTGAATTTACCTTATTATCTGGCTTTTCTAGGATTTTTCATATTTTTCCAGGTTAGCTGTCCCCTCCCCCCCCCCCTGCCCCCACCAGATTTTGTACTATCAAGTCACATATTGCCTGTTTCTGTCCTGAACCAATTCATACAAAGTTACCTGAACAAAGAGGGGCAAATTATTGTGCTCACATTACTTGTCTGATATTATAACCGCAATTAATTGAACTCAATTTAACATGCTGGCATTCTGGTGTGGTATATTAAACTTTTTTATTTGTATTCTACTTGATATTAGGCAGTCATTATAGAGATGGAAAAGGACTTCAGAAGGTATTGAGTCTTAATGGAGCAAAAATTATCATTGTAAAGAGTCCAACGCCAGGTCTCTGGAAGGTGATTGCCAGCAGTAATGGCAGCCACACCCTACGAATCACTGGTTTAAGTTCCATGTATTTTACCAGTGGCTTTGGGCTACAGCCAATAAAAACTCAAGATGAAGCTTTGCTGCGACCACTTGCTGGTTAGTTAAAAACAGTGATTAACATTAGACTTGTGCTAACAAACTCACCTTAGATGTAACTGAAATGTAAATTGGTTGATACATTTTACTACATTATTTAACCTCTGTATAAACTATATATCATTCATGTAAGGGAACAAAAAATATTTGACACACTGCCCATACTGTGGCTTTTTTTCAGTATAATTTATTTAACACTGGTATTAAAAATTAAAACTTTCCATGCCACTGCTTTTTCTTCCCTGTTAAGTTGCAATGGTAAACCCATGCAATGTTTTGGGCTGGGATGAGGTAGGGAAAATAAGAAGGGGATGAAGACTTGCAAAAAGTGGAATTAAAATATATAACTGTCACAATGAATGTCATTTACCTTTTATAAAGATCAACGTTATTCCCAGGTGGTCTTGAGCCTTAGTATAGTCTTTAAGCATGCACATCAATTAAGTACATGTAGTCATCATTTCATTGATAAATTTTGAAATTAGTTTTTGCAAAGGGGATAAAATTTTCCTTAGCTGCAACAGAACTGTTCAGTAAATTTTATTCCTTTCAGGTTTCAAAAACTTTGCCCTCATTGAGGTAAATGGTCTTCAGACCCCTGGTACAGCCCAGAAGGTGCAGATATTGGACTTGCAGGGACATCTGCTTAGTGAAGTACCTTTTAAACCCCGTAAAATGGATAATTCTACATTTGATTGGTATAATTTTGAGCCACCCAAAGGACTGTTTTATATACGTGTTGTCGGTGTGGATGATAAACATAACATGTTTTACAGAGCAAGTCCAACTGCTTTAAGTGCCATCTTACCAGGTTAGTAAAATATACACTCACAGTTGAACTCAACATTTCCTCTCTCCAAAATTGAAAATGTACTTAATGTCCGAAGTAGGTGGAGTGTGAGTGCAGATGCTAGGGTTCCCGGCTTAATGCCCTGCAATAATCACAGTTCCAGCAGTCACTTCCTGGTCAGATCAGCCTACTTGTTTCTGTTTGTAGTGTTTTCTATGTTTTGGCTAAAAATGTTTCTACTTTTCCCTTTATTTTCTCAATTGTCTCTTCCTTAATCAGTTGTTCTCTGCTCTTTTTCAGTCCCTACTTCTCAACTCTGTAATGGCGCATTTGCACAGACCGTTTTTCCTACATTTTTAATGCATTTTAGATGCACTGCCTAAGACCTGGCATACACTAGGCAAACACAAATAACCACCTGAAAATGTGTCAACGGAAGAGGAAAAAATGATTATTTTTCATTTATCAATGACAGATTCACACTTTATCAGGTATCATCTTCAAATTTGTCACTTTGTCAAACACAAGCCAGTTCCCTTTTTCAAATAAAACTAAAGTACTTATCAGAGGAGGACTGCATGGTTGGCACTCACACATCGCGTGGGGAAAGATAAGAAATATCAGGCAGATTTAGCAAAGACGACTTCTGAACAATAAAGAAAAAGTATGCAGGAAGGGCTGAACATTATTTCTGGAGCTCAATTTGCCGTATTGCCTTTCTTTATGTCAGGTTTAAATCTGCGCACACTGTTATCTTTGTCATCACATTGTCTTCAGTTAATAATCTGCTTAGTAGTTAGCACTATCTCCATACATGCCAGCTGGTGCATTGTGTGCCAGTAATCTACACGTTGATCATTGAGGCACCAGGCGCAGCAGTATTTTTAATCAACTTGCTTTTGTGTTATAGAACCACCCAAGGTCATTGCTCCAGCTACCAAGGAAGTCTTATCTGGCTCCCAAGCAACTCTTTGGTGTACAGTTAAAACCAAGGCTCCTGCAAAGATTCAATGGACTATGAACAGTAAAACACTGGGACCTGTACTGACTCATACTGGCACCATTAATATCACTCATGTCATCCCCTCAGTTACAAACAAGAACCAAGGACCTTATTCGTGCTCTGCAACCAATGTTGGTGGAACTGGTTCTGCATCAACTCAGCTTAGAGCCAAAGGTAGGGAATGTTGTTCTAATATCATTGCCCAAGCTCTTCTATTAAGGCATTGTTAGTTTGAAATTGAAATTTTTGGAGCAACACAGTGAGGTCAGTCCACATTTCACTGTTGTGTTGGGCTACTCTGCTTGCACCATTGAACAAAAGACAATCCCAGGATTCAGGTTTGCTGAAGTGACAAGAGCTGTTGCTACGATTCACATTTCAGATTGTGACCAAGCTTGCAATGAGCTCTCATGGATTTCTTACCTCCGTTAATTTTCCAACATTGTATTTTCATTTTTAACGGTCAACGAGAGTACAAGTTTCCCACAGCCACATTTGGCAACAAGAACATGGCATTGTAAGAGTTTTATCAGGCTCAACTTTAGCATACCATCATAAAAGGAATATAATTGCGACCACTGCAAATAATGGTTGTGACCAAAGATCAAGAACAAGGATAGTCATAAGCTCTTGTCATGCTGACGTCTTGTGAGTTGAAGCTTGCTACTAGTCTTGTTTGGCAACAGGTGCACTAGACTAGTAACTGGCCTAGCAGGCTGGCGTTTGGTGTGCTCAAGGCTTGTGGTTCATACGGTGGAAGATACGGGCGCGCGAAAGCTGAACCGAGGTCAAACGAGAAGACGAGATGGGAAGGAAAGAGGGGGTTTTCTCTCTGCGTCGTTCCCCTCGCCCTATCCCCCTTGTTTTCTCATTTTGACCTCGGTTCCTCGCTTCTCATTGCCGTAACTCTTATTTTTGAACACTCAAACCACACTTGGCTACACAGGTTAGTACACTAGGAATAACTTAACTTTTTCCCCTACAGATCCACGCACTATTGATATTGACGAACCATACTCTAACTTGACATTGGTAACTGGTGACGCTGTTATCCTTAATTGTGTGCCTGACATTGATGCACTCTACAGTATTGAGTGGCGGAAAGACGGAACTTACCTGAATCCACAAGCAAACGATACCTTGCTACTTCTCATCCAAGGCAGAAATGATGGTGGCAGGTATGAATGTGTTGCTACCAGCACCAGACGAGAGGAGGTACTGGTTATTGATGTTGTTGTGTTTGGTAAGTAGTATTTAGTGTTCTGATAATGTGTACTGCTGCAGCTGATATAATTTATCTTCATGAGTAAGGCCTGCAGCTTCAATCGACAACAAAATAGGTTGGGACACTTTGCCCTAAAGGGCCTTTCTGACGTTTTGCCAACTTCAAAAGGGGAAAATGAAGCTTTCCCTCCCCTATCCACTCCATGAATTTTGGGCCGAGCTGTTCGAGCTACCTGTAGAAAACAACTAACACCCCAATTTTGATTGGAGTGGGGAGGGGTGTGGATTGTTTTTTGCTTCGAAGTAACCCCATTTGAGGAAGAATGACCTTTTATTGCTTAATTGTCCGAAAAATAGAGAAAAGTGATACGAGAAGTAAAAAATTGATAGTTTTTGCAAGAATGAAAGCTTTGATTCCTGGATTCCTACGTCGTGAAAGCTAAGGTTTGGAATGTTTTAATGAAATTCCTTCCTTATGTTAACGCGCTTTACCTCTAAAAGGTCGTTACTTTCCTTTAAATGTGATATTTTGTTGTAAAATTAAAACTATGACATGGGAATTGGCTACTGTTGAGCAAAATGTGGATATTTTAACATTTTATTGATAACTGGAATTTGAGCTCGATCCCCTGCTAACGTTTTAAAAATATAACAATACACCCTCTTAAAAAAGTCGGCAGTTTTCTCTGATACAGACAACTGTTTTTAATACCTTCTTCATCCTGCTTTTTTGAATCAAATTATACCTTCAGCTCGGTGCCTATTGCCTGTGTTGACCTGTCTGTTGTAACAGACTATTTTCCTTCCCACCTCCGTTTATTGTCGATTCTTTTTTTTTTTTTTCTTATAACAGAAAATCCATCTGCCACAATTATCCCACCTTTAATGACTTTCCAATCCAGGGACAAGGTAACGATCACTTGTCAGGTGAGTGGGTTTCCTGTGCCTTCCATCCTGTGGTTCAAAGATGACATTCTGATGGAGTTTGACAAGAGAATCAGTGTGGTTGAAAGCTCACTTGTTATCAGAGATGCGCAGATGTCAGATGCCGGGGAATATGAATGCAATGCTTGGAACATTGTCGGGCAGAGCAAAGCGACAGTAAAGTTGTTATACACTGGTAAGCTTAGGGAGTCTATGCCTCAAATAATGACCAATAGTAAGAACGAAGGAGGACGATACCGAGAACGAGATTTTCTCATTACTAAATACAGTGGAACCTCGTTAATACGGTCACTAATGAGCCAAAGAAATTTGGCTGCATTAACGAAGGCCAACAAAAGTGGCTGTCATAACGAGGTGGATATAGGGCGGAGTTTCACTGTATTGCTCGTGCGTGAACCAGCGTCATTTTGGCGGGAAAACGTGATAGCCATTGTCATTCTACTACGAGTTGTATGGAGAATGTCGTAGTGGCGGAAACTAGTTATCAAATGTTAGAAGTTTTATCATTTTGCGATTGGGAGAGATTTTGTTAACCTCCTTCAGTAAAGATCACAGTGCTAACTTTTCTTGTGAATCAAAAGTACGATGAAGCTTTCCGGGGTGCCTATTTTTTGAGAATACGCGGAGTAACGTTCTGTCAAATCTCGTACTCCAATCTAAAGGTCTCTAATATGTGTTTCACGGAATGAAAAGAAAATATAATTTTACAGTTTTTGATGTGATGGCTATAAATAGATGAGAGGAAAATTACAACAAAATGCGGTGAATAAGAGGACACGTTTTGCCGAATAAACTATACATGTTATCTTGTTCACTGATAAACCTTATTAATTTGAAAAAGAGCTTGTGATTATAAAACTTACCTTGGACGTTTCGCTTTTCAGTTCCCCCATCAGTGTTTGTTGATCGAGAGGAAGTGATTGCAGTTGTCGGTGAGACTGTGATAGTCAAGTGCTCAGCAGATGGATCTCCTGAAGCAAATCTTTTGTGGTTTAAGAGACGAAAGAAAATACTGCCCAGTCGTCGTATTGCTCTCAGTAGTCAGGGACATTTGGTTATCAACGCCGTTCAGTTGAATGATGCAGGATATTATACTTGCCTTGGGAACAACAGTGCAGGTCAAGATTCCCTGACCATCATCATCCAAGTGCATAGTGAGTTGAATAATAGTTTCACCTAGCCTAACTTATTTATTTATTTATACAGGAACAATTGATTTCGCGTATAATAAGCTAATTTAAATAGTCCTTTAAAAAAATGCGAAGAGAATCAATATCCATAGAGTAGCTCAGAGTAGCACACTTAACGTACGTGGACACGCGATAATGAAAAGATTTAAGGTATAGCCTGGCGCTTGAAATGCCGTTTCGCTAAGGACTTGAAAGTATTTTTAGTCCGTTGCAGATATTATATTAGAGGTCTTAGAGGGGAGGGAATTATAGGCGCGTGCACCATTGATCCTAAAACTGCCCTGGTATTAGTGGTGGTTTTAGCCAAAGGCAGCCACAACTGATCACATTGTCTGGTGAAGTGAGAGTGGATTTGGTGAGCATGCCTAAGTTCACTCAGCAGATAACTGCGTACAGCCATTAGTAGTAGCGACAGTCTGTAACGGCATGATGCGGGGAGAAATTCCTCTGCATTGGCCATTTTGAGGGAATAGGAGACAAGTTAACGATAGATCTCAACCACTACAGGGAAACAAATTTCTTGCCAAAACTTTAATCTTAATAGTTATGCTGATGTAAGGAGCGGTCTATCACTATGGCCTTCATTGTCTTAAGTGTCAAATACTTCTTCCGTGTCTAATTACTTAGTAGTACTATCGTGATACACCTAAAACGAGACCCTTTTGACAGCATTTGAGACATCATTTTCCTTCAGAAATGTCCTCCGGAATTGAAGAATAACTTACATGTAACTCATTGGTCCAAACACCCTTTGCGGACTCGTCGGTGACTTTAGAGAGATTTAGAATCAAGTTAACGGCATACGTCAATTTGTACCACGTCAGCAGGCTTTCCCTTAGCTTATAGGTCACTGTTCGTGACATCTATTCTACACAGGTGTTAGCTGATTCTTGTGCATTGCATTCATGAGAATTCTTTTGGACAATTTTTATCTACTCGTTTCCCAAGTTTTGAAATTTTCAACTTGAAATTGACGTTTAGCGTTTGCCGTGAACGTGATTTTAACACTCGCTTTTGTCTTTTTCCAACGCTTACAGTGAATTTGCTTTTATCTTATAGCCATCCCACGCGTTAAGGTAGACAAGGAAGAAGTACCCCTGAAGGTTGGTAAGACTATAGAGCTACATTGTGTTGCTGTTGGCGTTCCAACCCCGACCATCTCATGGCTGAAGAATAACATTCCTTTACAAAACAGCAATAGAATTACAGTTACTAGCGGTGGCGCACTGATCATCAAAAGTGCTGTTCCGCAGGATGTAGGCGAGTATCTCTGTGTAGGCAGGAATCCTGCTGGAAAAGCCACAGCAGCGGTGCTACTCTGGAGTGAGGGAGGTATGTTGAATACATAAACTGAGGCTTGTACGCCCCCCCGCCCTCCCCTTCTACCACCCAGGTATTGGACCCTTATTGAAAGCTCCGGCCTCTTGGCTACTTACGAGAACGAAAGGGTGATTTTACGCTGTTGTAGCTTTTGGTGTGCTTTGTGGGAAAGGTGTGGAAATCTGTACTCCATATGTGAGATTTTATGATGGGCGACCAAAAGGGGATTAAGAGCATTTTGACAAGTCCGAAAGTCGAAATTTTCAATCTCTCTTGTTGGAAACGTCTGTTTCATTCAACTCTTTTCCCGAAATCAGCGTCTAGGATTTCAGCTGAATCGTTTGCTGAATTGTTTAACTTTGGAGACATTTCCCTTTCCGTTCGTGTATATTGCAACATTTTAGTCAAATGAAAAGATTCCCCACACGTTTTTCCTACAACAGATTCTTCGATATGTTTGGGAACCGTATATTAACTCATAATACTTTACACGGCAGCTGCTAATGCACATATCAAACGCAATCTTAATTGGTGATTAATCCTTCTTATAACTGTAAATATCGCTCTTCAGTTCCTGCAAGGATAATCAACCCTCCAACTGATAAGACTGTCACCTTTGGTGGAAACGTGACTTTTAAATGTCGAGCTGAGGGTTTACCTAAACCACAGATTACGTGGAAGAACAGCTTGGGTATCTCTGCTGATACAGACCCCAGAGCCACAGTGATGTCATCAGGAGACCTCTTTATTAAGAATATCCAACTAAAGGATGCTGGGAGATATGTCTGTGCAGCGGAGAATAATCTGGGGAGAGACACTGCCCAGGTCACTCTCATTCTTACAGGACTTAGTAAGTGACACTATGTTATTAGCTGGACATACAATAGTTACTAATATCGATGACTAGATTTCTCAGGGGCAGCGAAATAAGCGACTACTCAAGAATCACCCATTACTAAAGAAGTTGTCTGTCAAAGTCATCTTCTCAATGTAAAGAATGACGTCACAGGTAGTTCCACAGGAACAGCTTATAGGAGTCTTTGGTGTCTTCTAGTCATTTTAAGAAAAAAAAACTGTGTACGTATTAACTCGAATAAGCACCGCATTTGGGAGAAAAACGTTTAGAAGAAAAGTTAAAGAAGCGCTGCGGCCCTGATATAATCAAAATCAAGGCGTTTAAAATTTTGTTAGTTAAATACGGAAAATAATAATACCCCAGTTAAACTGTATAATTCTTTGTCGGGTCCCACTTTCAAATAAACGCTGCCTTCAAATAAGCGCCGCCCTCGAATAAACGCTGTACTTGAGGCGTGAACAATTTAATAAGCGCCGCAGTGCTTATTCAAGTAAGTACGGTACGTCCAAGTGTAAAAAATATATCATAATTTTTGGAATTCGTTGTTTTTTTGTTCACTCCTTCAGCTCCCCCGATAATTACAAAACCTCATAAAACCACCATTATCAGTGACAGAGGTGGAACAGTTGAACTTCAGTGCCCTGCTATTGGTAATCCTCAACCTACCATATCATGGCGTAAGAATCATCAGCCAGTTAATCTTGATGGCATCAAGTACAAACAGAAGGATTCAGGAACTTTGGTGATACGTTCACTGCTGCCATTTGACTCTGGAACATACTTGTGCACTGCAGAAAACCCAACGGGAAAAGACTTTCTCATCCTCACACTTCATGTGTACAGTAAGTTCAATTGTTGCTAATCCTGCTCACAAAGATGATGAATTTATCTCTGGATCAAATTCTGAACAGACCATTTATTCGTGTTCTCGACAGTCACACTGAACAGTAACCCACAATGTACCAAGTTTACTCGCTTACTTCGTACAGTGTGTTCTTTACACAACACATGTATACGTTTTCTTGATTGCATTCTACTGCCGTGAATGCTAATTGATTGTGGTTTATTGCCGAGAATATATCAATCTGAATATGAATATAGGTTTATGAGCATTTTTCTGCGCACTAAATTATCTTTGAAACAACCTTTGCCAAACGGAATGCAAAGTTGCACCGACGGTAACACTACTTCTGATTGTGGAATTGCAGTGATTTGCAGTGGTAGCGGAACGATCCTGCTGCTGTTTGTTCTGGTCTTTGACCATAGATAAATAACAAATGAACAAAATAAATAAACATCGACTTAAAGGTAGCACATTCGCAAAGTAGTTCGTCGTCTACCTGATTTCTGGTCGTTCTGGAATTTGGAAATGTTGACTTTTGTAGAGACAGGAAAACCCGGAGTACCCAGAGAACAACCTCTCGGAGAACCAACAACAAACTCAGCCCACACATGACGTCGACGCCGGGATTTGAACCCAGGTCACAATGGTGTGAGGCGAGTGCTCTCACCACTGCGCCATCCCTTACTCCCAAGGTTCTACATGCAATTAACTCTATTTATCTCTACTCTGTTAGTTTCTCCTGAGATTATCAGACCCCCACCGGACTTGGCTGTAGATGAAGGAGACTCAATCTTAATGGAGTGTGTAGCGCGAGGATTTCCCACTCCGCGTATTCGTTGGCTTCAGAATAATCAGCCGACTCGTTATAATGGCTCTGTAGTTCAAATAGCAGCGGTGAAGTCTCAACACACTGGAGTTTATAGATGTGTGGCTGAGAATATTGCGGGTAACGCATCTGCCACTGCGGTATTGGCTATAAGGGGTAAGTTTGTTTAACCAATTTGCCCCAGGCAACGTTGGCTGAAAAACGCGTTTTAAGCTAGTCGAGCCGTTTCCTGTTCTCTGTCTGGCTGTAAAGAGCTAAAGCTTTGCTTTATTTCGCTGGGAGAAATTTTTGGAAAGCTTTTAAGATCGTAGGATAAGAGGCAAGGAAGTCTAGGAGGGGAGTGGAACAAGATCTTTATGGACATTTTCGGCCAACTTTAATTTTTTTTTTTGCCTTTTCCTCCGGCCTCCTCTGAATCATTCTCATTCTTGTATGGTGTGAAAGATCTCTTCCCCTGCTTAAGTGACATTACACAGGTGTCCTTGACTGTTAAAGCAGATGACGTCACAAGCAACACAAGGGACGTGGATCCGCACGGGCGGTTACGGGCGGTTTAGGGAAGGGTTCGAGGGCTAACGGGCTAATAGATTATTTTGTTTCAACGTGATCCAGGGCTGGCTCTAACAGAGGTAATTGCCCCTAGCGCCTCCCTTTTGTTCTCGGATGACTAGGAATTCTTAGTGTTTGCCATAAAAATCCTACGTTTGGCACCTTGGATTGCACAGGTTCAAAGCATTCAGCTCCCCTCAATTTTTCTTAGAGCGAAGCCTTCTGATCATCGAACCTAAGTACGCAACTTAAGCAGTTGCGAAAAAAGAGCGTGAAAAAATAACCTTTGAACGGGATTCGAGCCAAAGACCTCTGCGGTATCAGTGGAGTAGTTTTATCACTGAGCTTTCTGGGAGTCAACTAGCAGCTACCCTGAATAGCTGACGGTTTTGTTTGGCGGGCGCGCAAATTGTTTCCGGTTTTCTCTTTTTTGCAGCTGCTTAATTTGTGTCGGTCCGTAACTGCTATGATCCTTCGCGTGTTCTTCCTCCCACATGTTCTTCCTCCCACGGTTAAAATAGAGTCAAACCACCTGTAAGCAACCACCAGAACTACAGCGGCTGTCTTCCTAGAAAGGTCCCTACATATCTACCTTTTGGCGGATAATTTATTACATGCAATTTCTTAATAACGAATACGCCACGTGTTCTACAGGCTTGTAGGTCCATTATGTCACTGAAAGTTCCTCCTATATACTGAATGGCGTAATACATATGGCGAACAACGAGACTACACCATGCGTCAACTGTTTGCTTACTAGAGATTAAAAAAAATGGAAACTATAAGACTGTCGGGTCAAAAACGGGTAGCGAGAGGTTCTAATTGTAGGGCTTTGACTTATTTGGTGTTTTGGATAGGTGGTCGCAAATGGAAGATCATCGGCTGTATGTGAAATTTCATATATTCACTTTCAGACTTCTTTGTTATCTCGGTAGTGAAATGCGCAGGTCAAAAAACGTTTTGCGGCATTACAGTCAACTCTCTACAAGACGGACGCCTTTGGGACCGTTTTACAGAGGTGTCTGTTAAGAGAGAGTAGACTGTATTTAATTATTATAATTTATTTATTCTACAGCTCCGCCTGTAATATTTGAGCCCAGGCTGCCGCGTGTGATGGTGTTAGCTGGGGACTGGACTGACCTTAACTGTAACGTAAGTGGCTATCCAAAGCCAACTATCACGTGGTTAAGAGCGGGTACACCGATTGACATGAATAACCCTAAGTATGTTGTTCTTCCATCCGGGAGTCTGCGCATTTATGGTTTGACTCCAGCAGACAGTGGTAGATACTCTTGTGAGGCTTCTAATCCGCTTGGTAAAGCTCGTCATCCTGTGGAATTGTCGGTGCAAGGTGAGAATACTGTAAATTATGTAACAGCTCTTAAGTAAACGCCTCTTGTCTAATAAACTTCCGCTTACGCTTTTCAAGTCTGTATTAGACGCGTCCCTCTATAATACCCCCCCCCCCCCCCGTCTAATGGAAAGACAGTTGATCAAAATTACTAGAGCAAACTTATTCAATTCAGTTGTCTTGTTTGATTAACAAGAGCTTGTGCATCAATGATACTTTGTTCAATGCCAAGTTGAACCCTAAGCTGTGAAAAAACTATTTGGTTTCTTACATTTTCTTTTTGTTTTCTGTTGTCGTGGCCCGATTTGTTACAGATAGCTTTTACTTGTTTAATGCGGTTTTTTTTTCTGGCTAAGCCTCTGTTTTGTTTTGTTTTGTTTTTATTTTTATTGTTTTAGTTCCTCCTGAGTTCGTCAAACGTCCGGAAAACATTTCCATCGACGAGGGCGACACAATCATCTTAGAATGTGAAGTGCGTGGTTTTCCTGTTCCTCAGATCACGTGGTATCTAAATGACAGCGCTTTGTCAAATAACAATTCTTTAGTGGAGATTGTTAACGCCAAAAAGGCAGACCATGAGGGCGTTTATCGTTGTGAGGCGAAGAACCCTGCGGGAGCTGTATCAGCTAGTGCAGTGGTTACAGTAAATGGTAAGGTTAAAGAAAAGTATATTTAAGAGGGGGACATGTGGGTTTACGGTATTGCGGTATTGAGCTTTTTTGCAAGCGGTATTTCGGTAATTTTGATTTTAATGTGCGTTATTGCGGTTTCATCCAGCCGTGCGGTATGCGGTTTTTCATCCTTCTGGCTAACGGTATTCGGTAAAAGAAGATCCTTGACGGCATTGCGGTATAGCCTCCCACGCAGACGTTCTTAGAGGTTCGTCACGCGTGTGGCAGGAACGCGTGACGAACCCCTAGGAACGTCTGCGTGGGAGGCTAATTGCAGTACTGTTCATTTGGCCTCTCCTGTCTAATGTAGGTCAATATTTGGAAGACTTTAGACTTAACCATAAATGAATACACAATTTCTGACAGTTACTCTATGATGTGGTAGGACATCCAATGACCTGGCTTTTCGATCGCTGTACCGATCAATTCGAGATCTTCACACGTTTTCTCGCGAAGGCTGAGGTTGATGTGTGGTGTATACATGCTTGAGATAAAAAAAAAACATAGATGCGGTATCGGTATTTCGTCCATGTTCGCCACGGTACTTCGGTATTTGCCATTTTTCTGTACGGTATTGCGGTATTGGGTACCCCATAAAGGCCCCCTCATTTAACAATTTTTGAATGATGCTGAGTATGATGTGAAGAATTATGCCGATCGAGAAGAATGTTATCCACCAAGGGAGAGGTGGAAACAGCGTCCTTTGTTAGTTCACTATTGCGCAACCAACCTCGTTCCTACGCAACTATTCTTGCATTTTCCAAATATAGTAAGCGCCAGAATTAGCCGGAGGATTGTAACCAATCAGACAAGGTAAAATCTTGAATGACTAATATATTGATAAATACCGTACTGATATTTCTCAATCGTAAGGATCGATAGCTATGAGTAGTATAGGATGCAAAACTTGAACCCCCTTTTAACAGGAACTTAGCAAGTGCAGGAACAGTGTCAGTTGAAGCTTCTGTTATTGGCTTTTGATCTAATGCGGTGGATTTTCAAAGAGGATCCGCTGTTATCGAAGTAAACGTCCGCTGTGATGGTATTTTCTGCATCTTGGCTTCATTTATGAAAATTTTTTAATCTAGCCGTTTTAAACTTTTCACAACGAGCAAAGAGGTTTAGGTGAACATGGATGTTTGACCTTAAAATATTTAATCCGTCATATCAAAGGTATAAATTCTTCTTACACTGGTGTAATGGGAAAAGAAACTACTGCCAACGTATCAAAATATTACAGAAAAAAATAGTCTTCGACACAAACAATTTTTTATGTAATATCAAAATTCAAACAATTGGAACTGTCAGCAAACTGAGTGAAACATAGAACTAACTGCTCAAAAAGTTAGAAGAAGTTATAAATGACACAACCTATACAAAAGGGGTCACGGATGGACAAACGTGAAGAAGATTGAATCGGATTGAAATTGTGATTTTTGAAAACTTGTCAGCCTAACAGTTTTTAAAGTTCATTTTTGTTGTTTGATTTCATGCATAAGTTATTTTCCAAGTTCCATAGCGAATAAGGACGCGTCATTGAATTAGCCAGCCGTAACACAACGTCTTTAAGTTGGATCACATAACCGTCACCTTGGCAGCTCATTTAGCAGAGCACCGATTTCCAGTAGGATAGAGGGGGATAGAATCCTAGCAGACTGTACGTCAGGGTCTTTAAAATTAAATTTCATGCTGTGTTTTAGCTCAGGATTGTTTCTAGTAAAAGGATTACTCTTATTTCTTTTCTCTTTTTTGACAGGAAGTGACGAGAATTTTGCTCAGACTGGGAAGCCTGGTAATACTTTTATTATCTATCTTGCTGCTTAATTATCTTTTTTTTTTCAGTAAAAAAATCACCGTGGTCATTTATGTTGTGAGAAATTTGTTCTACTTTCTTTTACGTTACCATAGTTACTGTAACCTTAGTAAACAGTCGACATTTCGTGACGTCACAAATGGTTTCCCCGCGAAATGACGTCTGAGAAACGACTGCAGAAATCCATTACTGATGACGCGTCACTACCCAGATCTGGGTAGTGCTTCTGGTTGTCTGAAAATTTGCTTCAACCAACCAGAAGCACTAACCACATCCAACTTGTGGATGATTCGTACCTCTTTACAGAGTTTGTACTCACACCGTCGGACGCTGAAGTTGATGCAGGTTCGACTTTCGTCTGGAATTGCACGGCCACAGGACAACCAACACCTGTGATCACGTGGCAAGTGGATGGTGCAGAGTTGTTGCCTGGATACCTTGAGCACGTTAGCGTTTTGGCCAATAATAGTTTGCTCATAAGAGGGGTAAAACCAGAAGACGCGGGACATTATCAATGCCACGCTAGTAACGGAGTTGGTGTCCATGTGGTACAGGCAAAGCTACGTGTCAGAGGTAAGAACTGTTCCTCGATTTCAGATTTTAAGGATCAGTGTTGTTTTAAAAGTAGTAATAGTGAACATCTGTCGAACGCACCTATGAAATTTAAGAGTCTTCATATCCAATAAATCCAGAGTTTCATATCATCAACTGACGTCATACAAATCACTTAGACTCTGAAGATGACTACCGCACAAGTTGTCGAAACGCCAGTCACCTTCAACTAGTCCTATTCAGATCTTCGTTCACCCAGACGATCCTGCTCCATGAACTTATGAAATGACCCCTGTCTTCAAACCTTTCTTAGTGTCTTGTAGCTTGGACTGCGAGTGACGGCTCGAGTACAAGTGCGACTTTAAGTTTTCAAGCGTTTTTACAGCCCCGACGGGTTTTTATGATATACTTGACCCTAATGAAGGCATAGCTTTTTTTTCAAGTGGTCGTCCAAGCCACATGAAGGTGCAACCATTTTTATGCAATTAGCCTTTATTCTTAACACACAAGTGTTTAGAACTGTCCTTCCTACAATCATTGTCAATGATGAGGCAAATTTTTTTCGTTGTGAAAATTGTTTACATCTTCATGTAAATGCTGTTAGCTGTTTCTGCAGTAATGAACTGGTGGACTGTCGTTCACTTAGTCAAACTCAAGCTGCAAGTGAATAACCGTGTATTAAGGTTCCTTTTTTCTCACGTGTATTTCTTTTTTCTGTTCAAAGTTAATGGAAACTGGAGCGAGTGGCAAGAGTGGGAGCCCTGTAGCAGATCATGTGGAGTCGGTGAACAGTATCGGTTTAGAACATGTGATAATCCTGCACCCAGTGGGGGAGGGAGAAAGTGCGAAGGAAGTGAGGCTGAGATGCAACCCTGCAATGTACAGTCCTGCCAAGGTTTGTATATAAAATATGTCACATAAGGGTAACTTTGTTTTGTTGGTGGGAGGAAACTATCTTTGGATCTTTGGAGAACTATTATGGTTAAATATAGCGCTCTTTTTCTCGCCCTACTTCTAGATTGACTACCTAACTTTTGAGTTTTGTCAATGAGCACTCGCTTACCCCTCAGCGCACACACCTCTTCTCCAAAATACGTTGAGGAAACCATGATGGTAACGACAGCAAAAAAGTCCCTAATAAAATCAGTTGGCGTTTGTTTGATCCTGGCAAAACAGCCGACATTTCGCGACACCATACCTGCTTTCCCTCGTGAAATGGCTTCTGACGAACGACTGCAGAAATTCCATGCTGATGACGTGTCACTACCCAGGTCTTGGTCAGTAGTGCTTCTAATTGGTTGAAGAGCACCACCAGTCAGGAGCACTGCCAGATCTAGGTATTTGTGCGTCATCAGTATGGAATTTTTGTGGTCGTTTCTCAGATGTCATTTTACGGGGAAACCAGGTGTGGTGTCGCGAAATGTGGGCTGTTTCCTTAGGCTACTGAAAGTCGCTTTCAATATTTTGTCAAATGTAGAAATTTTAGGATCGGTTATTTAAGCGAAGTCTAACTTAGATCGCGGTTTAGGCAATCTTTGAAACTCCAGATCTCTTTCTTAGTGGGCTATTTTAAGAAGACAAATGCTTTTCTAGTCCACTTTATATGCTTTAATGAAACTGTTCACGATAAGTGGTGTTGACATAAAAGCGTTCGCCAAACTGAAAATGGCTTTGAACGCGGTTTTGTTAAACACTGGCTAAACTCCGTTTAAATAAATGGCCCTTAGGGACTGAACTCATGTCTGGAAAGAGGAAGAAAAATTCATCGTGATGTGTCTGTCAGTCTTTCTTAAAACGTCGCATCAGGAAAAATCACGTCGTAATTGTGCAGTGACGGCATTGAAATGTACCAAAACGTAGAATTCCCCTTGAGGGAATTTTTGCTTTCCAAACCTTATATATATTTTCTTATATTTTTTGACGTTGTCTTTACCGTCGCTGTTGTCAAAGTCGTAGTAATGTGGCCCTCTGCTGCTGCCTGCAATCACTAACGAAAGCACTCACAAAAGACTAAGGAAAGATATTTAGGTAAATTTAATTCCCTAATATCATCTTTCATAACTGTTTCTCGTGTGTTTCAATCACCATTACCGTAGTGGATGGTGCATGGTCCATATGGACAGATTGGTCCTTGTGCTCTGAGGTTTGCAGTGGTGGAGAACAAACACGATACCGAGAGTGTAATAATCCAGTTCCTTTACACGGTGGTAAAAACTGTACAGGCCCAGCGAGGGAATCAAGGCCTTGTAACACTTTTAAATGTTCAGGTTAGTTTATTAGTTGACTTGAATCCGTAGTATAGTAGCGATGAAATTAACCTTTTTTGAGGGGGCATCTCATAATCTTATGGAAAAATACATCACGTTGCTTTCCCTCCACCACGTTTTCTTGGTTTGCAACCACGTGACAAGGCGGCCATGTTGGGGGTCAATACAATAGAATTTTTTCTCGAAAAATTTAAAGGAAAATAGAGTTTAGTTCCCAGTGGAGAGAAATGCTTTTGTTCGTGACCACCAACATGGCCGCTGTGACGTCACGTGCAAACAAGCAATTACAAGATTGTTACGCGAAAGTGCAGTTATTAACAAATGAAAAGCGGAAACGACGAGCACATGACCTTATCTAAATGAGAATCCATCGCATCGTATTCATGAGATAAAGACAAAAGGCTTTGACGTCATCGGCGCTAACCTATTCCTCCGTAAGATAATTAGATTCTCTGAAAAAAAGGTTCATTTCATCCCTACTAATACTTCAGTTGGTTTAAGAAATTTGAGCACCTAACACCTGCGTTACGCCAGATCAAATCGCTACCGGTAAATGAGCATCTCCACTACAAAGACGAGCCTAGCTCCCACGTATTTGTGTGAGTCTCTCCGAAGACGCAAGTCTATTCACTATCATAACACTAGAAACAGAGAATCCCTTGATATTCCTCCAAGTGAGACAAAGTCAGGCCAGCGACGTTTCCTCCATAGAGCAGTCATCATTTGGAACAATTTAGACAAAGACTTTAGACAGTTATCCTTACTATCATTTAAAAAAATTTGAAAACGCACATGCTAGAGAATTATTTTAATGACTGCTTTTTATAATTTTATTCATTTTTTTATTATAATGTTCTTTGCTGTTTAGTATTGAAAAGCCCCCTGGGAAATACTAATAAAAGTATGTATAAAAAGTATGTATAATTGGTTTATCTTTCACCGGCTCTACATGAGTAGCGGTAATGCTGAATATGCTAGAAATCACAGCACATAAGTAAGAGGATGATGGGATAAATGAGTATGTTGCATCTTATCATCGGTTGACGCAGAGCTCCATGGGTAGGGAAATCTCTTTTCTATCCTTTCGAGAATTTTTGTAGTTATCTGCTGACCAGTTTATGATTTATCGTTGGATCGTGAGCTTAAGTTTTATTTTCATTGAATTGGGGAGCAAGGGATGGCGCAGTGGTTAGAGCACTCGCCTCCCACCAATGCTGCCCGGGTTCGAATCCCGGCGTCGACGCCATATGTGGGTTGAGTTTGTTGTTGGTTCTCTCCCTTGCTCCGAGAGGTTTTTCTCCGGGTACTCAAGTTTTCCCCTCTTTTCAAAAACCAACACTCCCAAATTTCAATTCGATCTGGAACGTACGGACACGTTTAAACGAGTTCATATGAACTCCTAGGTGCTTCGTGGGTAAACAAGCAATTTACAATATTTTTTTATGTGTGTATGGGAAGTAGTTGTGGTATTCTTTTAGTTGAATGGTTAATATTTAGCAGTAGCTCTGCTATTAGGATTGGCTGGTTTTATATTAGCCACTTGTTTATGTCTATCCTCATGCCTTGATGCAATACCACTATAGTCGAACCTCTCGTCGCAACTGACCAACTTTTTATGTAAACGGCTCTCCACGGTTTGGAATGAAATATATGAAACGTTTGCTCGCCCAGTGTAGGTGGGTAACCCTTCTACCCGGGAAGACATTTCTCCATATAAGCAGATTGTTACTTCTTCAATAGGCTAGTTATAAGCGTAAGCTCTTTAAGTGCATTGGCTAAGAACCTTTTCCGTCCAATGGAACAACGCAGTTTTAAGACGTCAAGAAGACTTACAAAATAATGAAGTAATCGTTGACGATTATCAAATTTCTTTCAGATGGCGTCGAAGTAGCGATTGGACAAGTCCGTGGAACGGTCAATAACGTTATGCTGCCGACACTGTTTCTGTTGGCAAACTTCACTAAGACCCCAAGTAATGACACTCATGTTTCCTGGACAGTGAGTGGCCTTCCTGGACCAATCAAAAACTGGCTTAAGTCCGTGTCGATCCCCTTGACAACCCCTGTTTACTGGGCAACTGCGCGAGAGAAGCCTGGTGCCCAGAATGGTCTGAACATAACGAAAGGACGATTTGTATTCAAAACTGTGGTAAATTTCGATACTGGCGAAACACTGTTGATTGTGCATCGAGGACAAGGGCTGAATGATAGGGGTGTATTAATGCTGGATGTGGTCGTAAAGGGATCGACGCCAAAGCTTCCACCAAACGTCAATGTTAACATCTCAGATTTTGAAGAGATGTTTATTAAGACAGAAGAGAATGAGATAAGCTCTTTATCACGGTACGATTTTAGGTTCGCTTTGTGCGACATTTAAATGTTTTTAATAAGACAATAACAAGGTGATAAACTTCTGTTGTAACGAAACGTTTTTAGGGGACATGGACACACTAAGGCAAATTTTCTTTTTTCTTTATTCAAGTAGATGCGGTTCCCAGCAATTCAACTTCGGAAAACTTCGGGGGGGGGGGGGGGGGGTAAACAAGCTATATTATGAATATATATTTTTTTTTTTTATCAGCTTTTCTGTACACAGACCTGCCCAGAGGGAATGTGCGCGAACGGGACTCAGGTCCCATGCGAGGTGCCATCCCTACCCAATCCCACAACCCTTAAAGTTTGGCCACACCACCGGGGTCTATGACCCCTACTCTTTTACGTCCCACAAGAACAAATCAGTGAAAGTGCTGTGAGACGGGACCTACGGTTTTTCGTCCTTATCCGAGAAGACTAGAAAGTCTAACCATTTGCAGATGTCTTTACAAAGGTAGCACTTTCTGCTCACTTATTTAAGAACTCTGAGTGTTGGTCCTGCCGGGGTTTGAACCCGCGACCCCACGCCCGACAGACTCGCGCTCTCCCAACTGAGCTAACCAGGCGGCGGTTAAAATGCAGGTCTCGGTGAAAATGGTGAATTGGTTCAAGTTATTTGGTGTGTTTCTTTCCCAGCGTTTGACTGGGAAAGAAAATCCCGTTTTTAGTTCAAATTATCGGGTGTTTTGAGAAACCGAAGGTTGGAGGCATATCGGAATTCTACTGAAATATCATTTATCGGTTGCAGACGAGTGATGTTTGTGGATGGCAAACCCATTCCTTTCTCCGTCAATTCAACCATTTCCTACTCCTCTGAGGACAAACAGAATGGATCTTTGTACAATAAAGTTCGCGTGTCTACTGTGGATATCAGTCGCTCTCGACAGACTGATGTACTGGAAATTAGTTCGACTGCATTAGTTGAAAAAGGTGTGTGATCTATCAAAAAGATTGTTTTCCTGTTCTGGAAAAAACACATGGCGTGAGGGAGGTTTCGCATTTCCTGGCCTATTTCGATGAGTTTACAACAAGTTTAGATGGCTTTAAAAATTCAAGTGCTGAGTTTTTCTGAAAGCATCCCGTGTTTTGATTTTGTTTTCTGATAGCGCTTAACAAATTCACGTTATCGAAGAGTAAAGGTGAATTGTGTCTTTCGTATCTTTTGAGGGTCTTTCTGAGAGCCCCTATCTATATCTCCATTTACAAAATGACTACGCAGGCGCTTGAGGAAGAGACCTGGGCGCGCTTTAGGGCGCGCTACGGAGACACGCGAGAGGATGTTAGTGGTGTGATAAGTCCTTCACTGCCTTGTACTACATGTTTACAAACGATCTCGTGTTTTTTTGGTTGACAGTTTTCTCGCCCAACGCGAACACTCGGGAACCTCTTGACCAATAGGGATATTCCGCACTCTAAGAAAGCGGAAAAAATAGTTTCGTGGGGCTCTCGGGCAGGCGCTCCCTCTCCCCTCGCGTGTCTCCCTCGTACGCCGCGCGGTTCTTTCTGGCGCCTCGTACTTTCAAGCGTCTGCCACGCTGGCTACGTATTGACAGGAGCCCTTCGAGGAGCCTGTTTTGTCAGCTTTGTAATATTTTCTTTTTGCTTTTAGTTTCATCTTCTGACCCATGTCCTCCAGGCCTGATACTCCATGCTTCTGCTCAGTATTGCCAAGGTAAAAGATTTGTTTATTCAAATGTATAGCTGAAAGGGTTTACATTGAACTTAGAATTAGCAACAGTCTGTAACTCTTGAGCACAGTCATAGCAATGATGGGAAATATTTTTGGACACGCAATTAACATTTCCAAGAAAGGACTGTGATACAAGTTCTAGGCTTAAGAAGTTAAACTGGTGGTAATGTTTTGTCAAGACCAATCCTTTCAACCTTAATTAATGTGGATTGATTTGGATACGGTCTCTCACTTTTCAACCGTTAAAATGAGATTGTGACTGGGTATAGACCTCTTTCATAATGGCGGCCTAGTAATACGTATTAAAAATTCTTTTGCATTTTGCACATGCTAACAAGGTCAGAAAGGCTAATTATCATATTGGTCACCCCACCATTAAACGTGATCAATTAAAATGAGAGATTGTTTGGATAAGCGGATTACATTACCTAAGGGTTACCTCACCTACCTGGGGTCCCCCACCTGCATGTAAACAGGCCCTACCGTTAATTCAAGTTTAAGTGAATTCATCTACGATCGCTTTACATAACCCACACCCTGTAGCGGTGCACAATAGTTAAGTTGATAAGTGAATGTGCTTTAAGATTTCAATGTGTGCGGCCTTATAACATTTCTGTTATGTTTCGTATTCAGATGTTAATGAATGTACCGCTGACCCAAGTGTTTGCTCCCATTTCTGTGTAAACTTGTTTGGTTCATTCCGGTGTTCTTGTCCGCTGGGTCACGTGCTTTCTTCAAACAACAGGACTTGTGAAGGTGAGGCACTTCTTCGGTCTGTGACGTGTTTGGTTCAGTGATCCCTTGTAATACTGACTCGCACTTGTTACTCCTCTGACTTGACAATCGACCTTAGTTGTGTCGCGCAAATCACACTCTCCACCAAACGTTTTGATGTTAACCGTACGAAGGTTTGGTTTTCAGTCTAACTTCTCTTCACGGACAATTGTTTCCCAAAGATGCCAAATTTCATGTATAATAATAATACTAATAATTATAATAATAATAATAATAATAATGGAATTTATATAGCGCTTATACATCGCTGTTCTAAGCGCTTCCTCTATAATTAAAAAACTCCTGTGGTGTGGACTCTTGGCTCTTTCCCTTTGGTGTCTGCATCAAGAAGGTTTGCGCATATGATTATTCTCATAGAATATATGCATTGTAAATAATAGATATTATTATTATTATTACTGTTTGACTGTACCAGTCTTACAAGCAAAAGTGTTTGAGCAATGGTTTCTCTTATGGGCTAACCTGGGAAGAAGAGTTATTTCATTTTATACTTTCATTTGTTTCTTTATAAGTGATCTGGAGATTTTTATTCTGGACTTGATTGTTTCCGAACACTACATCGACGTCCGTATTGTTGAAAGCAAAATTTGTGAGACTCATAGCTAATATTTCGTTCCCGTAGCTGTCTGGAGTTCGTAAAGACGTTAGCTTTCACCTTCTTTTACCAGATGTTGACGAGTGTGCGCTAGGAACTGGATCATGTCCTCTTGGTGAAGACTGTGTAAACACCGCTGGCTCATTTCGCTGCCGTGGCAGATGTCCTAATGGATTTAATATGACCGACAACGACACTTGCGTTGGTAAAGAGGCTAGCTTCTTTTTCATAATTTTCATCTCATTTCAAAGATTTCCAACTTGGTTTAAATAGACCATTCGCACGATGGCATCATGTTATTTATTTATCCACATAGTTTATTTAGTCACTTTACAATATTATCTGTATATAGACTGCAATATTATCTGTATATTATCTGTATATTGACTGCTGTAACCTTTCCTCTCCGCCCGCCTCGTCTAGCTTTTGCTATTTGCGGGCGAAGATGGCAAAATGATGTGTATGAAATAAAGTATAGTGTGTGTGATTTTACTACTGCGACCAGAATCCTTTTCGATTTTCCTTTCATATTTAACGTCTGATAATCCCAGCGAGGTTTTAATAACAAAAGCCTTAATTTGCACTAGAAAGCAATACCTAAAGGATTCTGGTCGTAGTAGTAAAATGGCGTCATCGTGCAAGAGGCCTATTTGTGTTTGACTAGTCCACTTTCACGCTGTTGCTAATTTTTTATGGTCCTTGTCAGATGTTAACGAATGTGAGCCTGCGTTGTCGGAAGTTTCTTCACAACCAAACAACCCATGTTCCCACAAGTGTGAGAATTTGCCTGGTTCCTTCAGGTGCTCCTGTAAAGATGGGTATCAACTTAAAGGGAACCAGTGTGAAGGTGAGGAAGTATGATAGCAGGAACGCGTTAATTGTAAGGTTTATAATAATTGATAGTCCCTAAATAGGTCTGCATTTTATAGTTCATCGTAGAAGTCATTTTCCTCAAAGTCCTTTTTCCTTGAGGGAGTTACAGCGTGAAGTATTGCTTGACGGGGCTTGAACTCGCATCCTCCCGCTGGGCAGACCACCGCTCTCGCAACTGTGCTAACCGGGCGGCAGGACTTTATGACGTGAGGTTACGTTTTGTGCTGTTTGTTGTAGACATTGACGAATGTGCGACCGAGATCTGTGATCAAGGTTGTGAAAACCAACAAGGAAGCTACCGCTGCTTTTGTAACCAAGGATACCGGAACAGATCAGACAGTAAATGCCTTGGTGAGTAGTGGCGCCCTTTTGCGCTTAATGCCCTTGCCATATCATGTTCTCTGGCAGTCACCAGACTCTGATCTGAATGAGTGAGAACTGAGTGCTTGATGCATGTCTCGTAATTCCTTTAGCCTAATCCAGGCTTTCAGACTGTAGAATGCGGCGCGAAGTCAGAGCTAGAGAGCGGGAAAAACGAAAGATGATGTTATAACGCTCTCAACCCCAACCTGAGCCCCTCGCTGTTTTTCCTGCTCACATCTCCTTGCGTCGTTTTCACGGTCTGAACGCCTGAAAAAACTATAATGCCTTTATCATTCCTGCCTCTGGCCTCCTCAGCCCCCGCCTCGGTGGTATCTAAACTGAAACGACAAAATATCCTACTAGCTTGATTAATTTGAGCAAAGCAAAGTTGAAAGTGTAACCTGTATTAAGCAGACACGTTCGGGATTTTCGCTGTTGTCCAATAAATAGAGGTGTCCACAGAGTACAGGTTTGTTTTTCTAAAATATGAGACGACACCTTTGAAACAGAGCCATTCGTTCGCTTGATACAGGTTCTTCTGTATTTTGCACGCCATCTTTGGGGAAAATATTATTAGTGAATTGTGCTAAATAAAGGTGGAGATTTGTGTTTCCTCGTTTTCTTCCTCGTAACAACACCACAGGTTCGTTTGTGCCACTCTTGTTAATTCCAAGTGAGTAACGTGCTGTATTTTTTTACAGCGGTTAATTATCACTGCCTCTCAGTAGTGTTTCCTTGTGTTTTCTTGAGTAGGGAGGAGAAATTAAGGAGGCCCTGCCTGATTTAAAGTCGCCCATGCCCAAACTTCGGGACTAGTTAATCTTGTTCTCTATCGTCAAACGAGTCGTCAAACTAGTTTTTCGAGTGTGCGCATACGTCTATTGGTAAATCGTTGGTCATAACTGAGCCCGCTGTACCAAGCGCATGGCCGTTAGGCCTGGGTTTGAAACTGTATCCCAGCAACAAGCAGTACATGCTCAATAAAAATCTTTAAACTCGATTCAGTCTTTCTGGACTACGCTGAAGTCGAGCAAGTGAAAAAAAGGCTCCGCTAGCAGGGTGGTTAATTATTAAATACTTTGCGAAACTGGATCTTTTATCGCATTGACAGATGTAGACGAATGTGTTGAGAACAGGACCATCTGTGGTGACCGTCAATGTGCTAATATACCCGGAAGCTTTCAATGTTTAGGCAAGTGTGACGTGGGTTTCAAAAGAACCATGGATGACAAGGCGTGTGTAGGTAGGTATTGATTATCCTTCTATTCTGCTGATAAGGACGGACCTTAAGCAACGACGACGGCGACAGCAGTGAAAACGTTGCTAAAAAAATTAATTTGCGTTCTTTCAAACTTAACCGCCTCTATTTGGACCCTCTCAATATGCCAAATGCAGGCGACTTTTCCTGGACTTGAATTCTTAAAGACTTTATCCAGGTTCAAAGAGAGGAAGGAAAACTCGTCGTCGTATGTCCACCGTCCTCCATAAAACGTCGCATTGGGAGGTTTTACGTCGTAGTCGTGCAGTGGACGTCAAAGAAATGCACTAAAAAGCGTGATGCGCGCGCAGAGCTGTTGTTTTGCTCATAAAACCAACTGTTTTCTAAAGCTGTCGTTGTGGTTGTCGTCGTAGTTGCTTAAGGTCCATAGTGTTAAACCCCAACGTTCAGAACGTTCACTCCCAGGTGAAGACAAGGGAGCTTTAGCAACGACGACCGCGACGGCAGCGAGAACGTCAAAAAAGCAACAGGTTTAGATTAGCAAAACAACAACTTTGACGTGCATCACGCTTTTTTGTACATTTCTTTGCCGTCACTGCACGAGTACGGCGTGATAATCCCTAATTTCACGTTTTGTGGAGGACGTCAACAAGCGACAACGAATTTTTCTTTCTCTTCCAAAACTTGAGTGTGGTCCCCAAGAAATCAACTCCAGGGAAATTCGCCTACATTTGACATTTTCAGGGAATTGGAATAAACGCGACAAAGTTTGAAAAATCGCGAATTCATTTTAAAAGTGACGTTTTCGCTGCCGTCGCCTCCGTCGATGCTAAAGCTCCCTACTATCATGAGTAAAACATGGAAGTAAAAATCTTAGTGTATACTCAGATGGTTTCTAGTACTTTCACAACATCAGTGCTGGGTACCAAAGAAGGGTAGTGCCATAACCTTTAAAGATTTATTTATTTATTAAATGGTAGGATTTCACAGCAAAGATTTAGAAAACCACGACGGTAGCATTGAGATTTGGTGCACAAATTGCAGTTGTTTCTATAAACATTATATTTACAGATTTTGAAGAATTGGTAAGGGCTTTATCTCTTTAGATACAAACAGTGGGTTTAGTCTTCTTTGTTCCTCTGAGATGCATCCCTTTTGCGCTGAAATTCGTTCGACTTCGGTGTAAGCGATCGTTGGTTCAAAATGTCAAAACTTCACCAAAATATTTTAGCAATTTTCTTGCCAGCTATACGTAGGTAACTGCATTCAACCATTTTAGGTCTTCTGTATAGGTGCGTAAGTAGATTGGGTCGGAGCCTTGTTATCCGAGCCTTGTGAGTTTTCCCTTTTGTCTTTCAGATGTTAATGAGTGTAATGATGGCAAACACAATTGCAAGTCAAACCAGATGTGTATGAATACATATGGTAGCTTCTACTGTGTCTGCCCCAGGGGTTACTCGGCAAAGACAGCCCAGTCCCCTTGCGAAGGTAGGTTGACAAACTACGGTTTCCTAATCCACTTAGATTCACAGTAGTGGAACTAGTGCTACTCTGATTTGCTAAACGTTTGTTCCATCCTAGCCTGCGACCAAGTTCTCCATTTGGGGGCGTCGCGAGAAGTCACGCGAGAGTAGCACGCGAAGGGAAACGCGAGTGCGAGGCTCTTTGTAAGCCATGTAAAATGGAGAGCTTGATCGCAGGCTAATTCCATCCCAGATTCTTTGTCGCCTAGGTAACCTGCGAACGCAATTGTTGTTCCGGTCTTCGCACAAGATATTTTGTCTTGTTGGTCAATCACCAATCATCCCTTGAGTAGGTTTTCTTAATTTTGCCGAAATCCCCAAAAGCACTTGTTTTATTTAGATACAGTATTCCGTTAACTCGAAATGTAGAGCTGTTTCTAAACGAGCGCCACAAACGACAGCTAAACCGTTACAAAGGTAGATTAACTTATTTCCTCTTCTGCAGAGTACAGGCCAAGTGTGTTACTGATTTTGCAAAAGCGCAATCATTGAATTTAAGTGTGAAGAGGAAGTTGGAGTTGGATGCCCATATTTACTTTCCAAAGGTCTTCGCGTTCGACTAGCATTACGACGAAACATAGCAAGTTGTCATTGGGATGATGTTAGTTTATCCAAACTTCATTGCAGATGTGAATGAGTGTGAACAGTTTCAAGGAATCTGTGAGTATCAGTGTGTGAATACTGTCGGCAGTTTTGAATGTCGATGTCCAGGGGGAGGCATCCTCAACGCAGATCAAAGCACGTGCTCTGGTTAGTATCATACATTATTGTTTGAACGAATCCGCGAGCGGATTAGCCTGTTCACAGACCCTCTATTTTCTCTTCAAAGTCCGTCGAGCGCGGCGGGTGATAAAATATAAACCGCAGGGGATTTATTGACCGCCAGCGCAAGTGGGTAGTGGTGAGGGAAAAGAACGAAAAGAAACATAAAACAACGTCTGTGTACAGGTTACGAGCGGGTAAGATAAGGCGAATCCTGCGTTCTGATTAGCTACCCGAGCGGGCAAAATGGGCCAGTCTTGCTCCCTCGTGATTTTTCCGTTGGTTTGTGATCGTTTTTGTTTACTTTAACGTCGTCTCGGAAATTTTGAAATTTTGGTTTTAAATCAATTGGAACGGACTACAGTCAACTCCCTCTAAGACGGACACCTTTTGGGACCGGCAGTAAGTGTCCGTCTTAGAGAGGTGTCCGTCTTATAGAGAGTCAAATAATAGGAGTAAAGAAAGGCAGGGACCAACTTTAGGTGTCCGTTTAGGGAGGTGTCCGTCTTATAGAGGTGTCCGTTAAGAGAGTTGACTGTATTTCGGTTCGGTCCGACGGAATATTGGGGACCACCTTTGAAGGTCCACCTTTACCGGCCTGGTCATTTCGTCGGTCCGACCGAAATGTTCCCGTCAATTTGACAAAATTGTTGTCCCCAGCACCTCTCTTTTGCATCCTGCTTACAAGAACAATAACCAAACGCGCGGTGGCTTGTGTCGGGTCTGTGCAATCGGAATGTACCGTTCCATTGGGTACGTGAAATTTCCGAAATTTTAAAGCGGAATTTTTTTTTAATCCAAAGCGTCCGTAATATGTTTTATGCAGGATGCGTATTATGGTATAGTTGCACTTGGTTAAGTCTGAAATCCCTCTCATCATTGTATTGCCTATAAAAAGGTCGCTCAGTGCGTGAATCTCAATTAACGTCTTCAATTTTTGATTCTCAAATTTGTATTTCGCTCAGCACGTATTTGCATAGAGCACTTGTACTACTTAGTGCTAATTCTACTGATAGCTGTTCTTGTTGTCGTTGTTGTTTATCAAGAAATCCAGAAATGTACGTATATATAAAAAGAGATTTAACAATAACGACTTTCGCCCTTTGGAGAAGAAACCAAGTTTCAAATCGCCTTGGGAGATGGTGTGAGTAAAACAGTCCTTTTGTTTCCACTCTTTTCGCAGGTGTGGACGGCTGTGCAATCGAGAACCTGAAATGCGAGCAACGTTGTGATTTTTCTGCGCAGGGATACAGTTGTTCCTGTTCGCGTGGGTATCGACTTGCTGACAACAAACAGGATTGTGTTGGTAAATTAAAGAAGAATAAACTAGACTCCTTTTTCGACTTCTAGACCTGCACATATGACGTTAATTGGCATACGGTAGAAACCTTAACTCCTGTAACCCTTATTTTATTCTACTAATGCCTAGTTCCGAAGAATCGTCCTTTTTATTTATTATATTTTTAGTAAAAAAAAAAATTAAAAGCGTAAGTTCTTTACTGCTTGAATGACTCAACCACCATTTTTCTGTTGATGAATACATTTTACTTAGATGTGGATGAATGCTCGTCGAACGAGACCAACTCATGTCAGTTCGCCTGTATTAACACCATTGGAAGTTACAAATGCGCATGTCCAACCGGATATCACCTCAGTGCTGACGGCAAGAAATGCCAAGGTAATACTATACAAAATGGTATCCGTATAACCTATACGACAGTGAGGGGAGGGGTAGGTGCGCAGTTTCCCCGAAAGGTATTATGATCCCTATGATCCGACGACGGTTGCCTACGAATACAGCCTTCTTTCCACGATTGTCTGAGGCGTTTTTTAATTCTATTTTTTGGTTGAGAAAACATTCTTTACGTTATTATGTAGGTCCAAAAGGTGTTCGTTTGGCTTTCATTTTCTAACAGCGATTGTAATTGGGTTTCCGCGAAAACATTAGTTCGTAACCACGGGTTAAGGAACAAAACCTTCTCACATTGTCATGTAAACACCACGGATAGCATTGCAGTTCCTTATCGTAGATTACAGTACATTTACAAGAAAAGCAAACCAGACCGATGGAAAGTCTTGCAGTTAATAACTTATAAAACTCTTAAATTTTGAAGCCAAATAAAGCATTCATAATTAAAGACAGAAACCTTTGTTGAGATGCTGTTTTGTTTTGTTTTTTTACTACAGCCTTTTACATAAACGTAATTATATTTCTCTTAGACGTGAATGAGTGTGCTCTTACGAATGGGCCTTGCCAGCAGAATCAGTGTTACAACACCCGAGGAAGTTATCAGTGCCTGCCTTCTTCCTGCCCTCAACAGTATCATCAAGTTGGAGGCGGGTATGTAACTGAAGTAGTGCCAAGTTTTCTCGAGCGAGCGAGTTCCGATGATTCTCCGATCAGTAACGGTTGTTGCGGGTCGTTGATTTTACTGTCGCTGACATTCTCGTTCTTAGTTTTTTTCCGTGAGTTGAGCCAGGTTAAACTTTTACGCTTACGAGCGACCTTTCATGCATTGCCTCTAATTCGTACGAAAATATTTTCAACCCTTAGTTCATTTTCCGAAATGATTGATTGAAATAATTGGAAATATTCTGGGTCTGATTTTTGTCTTTATTGCCTTTTTTTTTTCTCCTTCTAGGTTTTGCGTCAATCATTGCTCGGTCCCTGGCTACTGCGCACCTCAAGCCTTCCGTCAAGAAGTGCTTCCGTTGCCGCTTGAATTTCCCGCCAATACCAACATTGCGCGATTAATCCCATTTTTCCCGCCATATATGGCCTCTCTTCAGTACTACTGCCAGTTCCAGTATACCTTTGAAGTCCAGCCCTCTCCCTTTGGTATCAGGCTACTTGCAAACGAGGCCATGATATACACGAAACAGAAACTAGAAAAGGCGGGAATACACAAGCTGCGCGTTACTGCGGATTTGTTTTATATGGACGGGACGCTGGCATGTAGGACTGTGTTTACGGTGTATATAGATGTAGCTAAGTTTAGTTTCTAAATACTTCTATCCTAGCTGCTTCAAACTTTCTAAGTAACTTTGCTTGAGAAATAACTATACGTCCGTTTATTTAACACTTGCAAAGCTCTAACGAGAGCGCATTTCTCAGTAGCCTTTCCTTGCGAAAGGTAAGATTTCTTCGCTTAGGCTTTTTTCTTTTAGTTGACAGTCACATTCCCCCAGTAGTATTTGTCCGACCAGTAGAAATTTCCTTAATAGAGAGATTCCAATCTGTATTAAGGAGGTGTCGACGGTATTTGTTCCATGTGGCAGAGAGCTGTCAAAAACATTTCAGCTATCCTCACATTACCGTTTCTCTTTCGCGTGCATGATAAAATCGGAATGAAAAATAGGACAGGCAGCTTTTTAAAGAGACATAAAGTATAATTTTAAAAATATTTTTATTTGGCTTTTTACTTTTCTTATACTCTTGAACATCTTATTTAAATATTTTACTACGCATATTCATTAAAGTTAAACGATGTCTTTTACCTGATATTTCTTTCTGTTGTAGTCATGTTTATTATACAGGCCATTAACGCATAAAGATACATGTATACTGTTACATTAAATCTCACGTTAGTGCTTTTGGCTTCCCTTTCTTTTTTCCCTTCTCTCGAACTGTTTTTTTTTTCTCAATTACAGTAAATGCCCCTGGGGTGGGGGTACTCCTTATCATTAATGTCCTATACGGGGAGGCTCCGACGGAAAGTGGTACCTTTTCAGGCTTCAGGTAAATGAAAGGGTAGGGATTTTATTAAATCCCCCCGCAGGTATTTCGCCCAAAAGCGAAATCCCGAGGAGACATATTAGTAACTCGCGCGTATATTAAGGAAAGTCTTACAAGTGCAATATACAGTCAGTATGCCAGACAAAAAACTCGCTTGAACAGGGGCCGCGTGGGATTTTTAAGCACCCATTATTGTGGTAACCCGGTTACTGGGCAAGTAGAAATAGAGAAGAAAAGTCGTTACGTCACGTTGCCATGGTAGCAAAAACTTCTGGATGACAACAATTTGAATTCAGATATGAAGGATTAAAAACTAAATCCATCAATCTTTTTGTGTTGATGTCAACGCTCTTAAAATAAGAAAATTGTCCAAGGGCTTTTGAACAACAAAAAAGAAAAGTTAAATTTAACCCTGGGTTATCGCTAATCGTTCGAACAACTGGGTCCTGGATGACAACAAAGAAATAAAACGTGATGTATTTCCAAACTTCATCCATCAACTGTTTTCAATTGCTAAATCTGAGGGCCTGTTTTATCGCAGTCGTTCAACGACGGCTAAGAAGAAATGAAGCGTGATGTACGTGCACAGTTACTGTTTTGCTAATCTAAGGGTCTGTTTACACGGAGGTGGGGGACCCCTTAATTGGGACCACAGGTAGGTGGGGCTGAACCCGCCTGTCCATATAATTTCTCATTTTAATTTGATCACGTTTGCATGCCTGGTAGGGTGAACCGCCACATATTACCTCACCTACCTGGGGTCCCCCACCTCCGGTCGTTGTTACATGACACTTGTTGTGATCCAAAGATTTTGCATACCATGGTAACCTTTGCTACCTTTATTTAGTGAAAATCCATGTTTCCTATCGTCAAAACCCCAGACTCTCCGTTTGACCACCGCTGGTGCAACCCAGTCGTAACTTGTTAAGTTGCATCGAGGTTCGTCCGGGTTGCATCATTCAACACTGAAAGAAAAAATTTTTCCATCCATTTTTGGTTTAATACTCGATGTTCGACTTACAGTTACGATATCTTGAAGTATAAGTTTCAGTAGAGTAAAGGCGGAGGTATTGTACTTGTTTTTTCTGTAAATTGTAAAATTCTATATTCATTGTAATTTGTTTACCCGGAATTCTCAAGAACACGACTCAGAGGCGACAGAGCGTTTTGAAACGTAGGAGTGGGAGGGGGGCTCACCTTCCACTCAGTCATATGCATTAGATCTGCGAACGCCAAATAACGCTAAACCTTACTTTTTCTTAAATGAAATGACAATTAGCACTTACGCGACGGGTGCAAGGGAAGAAATGACCCGTTAACTAGGCTCCTCGCCCCAGCACGCCAAGGGAGTAATATGACGCTCGCGCTATGTGAGAGATCGCGTGTCCAGGCACAGGTAGCCCAAGCTCACTATGAGAGCCCTGAACAACATTCAGACCTCCTAGGCACTGTTTAAGGCCTTTTTCGGAGCGACAGTTTTTCACCCAGATGACGTTAGAGAGTGAAAAACTGTCGCTCCGAAAGAGGACTTAAACAGTGCCTAGGAGGTCTGAAATGCAGTCAGAATACAAAGAAAAACAAGAAGACGCTAAAGGTAAGCTTCAAAGCGATATTCAATGTACATTTTGCTAATTTAGTGAGCAAAGAATATTTGTCCATACAACGTCTTATAATTTTCTTGCTGTATGAATAATTAATTAGCTAAGTAGGATAATGTTGTTCAGGGCTCTCATAGTGAGCTTGGGCTACCGGTGAACAGGCCAGGCTGGAAGCGGAAAGCCTACGGTGGTAAAAGAAATCATGTCAGCTCTGAGAAAAGCGGGTTTCAATGTGTCTGTTGTGTGCGCAAGTGGAATTGCTTGCACTGTTTATGATCCTGGGATCGCGTCAACTGTGCACTCACATTATGGCTTGGGAGTGGCTGATCTTCCTTGGCAGAAGCTTGTTGAGCGTTCGTGTGAAAATAACCTAGTGGTGAAGCGCGTGAGAGAAAGGGATGTGTTGATTTGGGAAGAGGCTAGCATGTCAAGTCGACGCATGTTAGAAGTCGTCAATGCCATTCATCATAGCCTTAGTGAGGAAGGTAATCAGCACAAACCATTCGGTGGTAAACAAGTAATTTTGGTGGGCGAGTTTCTGCAACTTCGACCAGTACCGGATGACCTCGATGAAGGTATGTTCATGTTTTATTCACCGCTGTTTGGGAGTGCAATCACCCATCGCTTCGAGTTAACTGAGATTATGCGGCAATTTGACAAAGATTTCCTGTCCGCCTTGCAAGATGTCAGGGTCGGCAAATGCAGCAATGAGACGCAGAATTTTCTGAACATGCTTACGAAGAATCTCGGCGGTTTGGAAAAGGAAGCACTGCACATTTATTTATTTCAAAAAGCTACCGGTAGCTATTCGCGAGCGTCATATTACTCCCTTGGCGTGGTGGGGCGAGGAGCCTAGTTAACGGGTCATTTCTGCCCTTGCGCCCGTCGCGTAAGTGCTAATTGTCACCCTAGCAACTAATTTGCATTTGAAATTGGAAACCTTGGTAAGCGCGACAGTGGTCACAGGCACTGCACGAAAGCCAGACTTGCCTCGAAGCCCGGCACAAATGGCTCGATTTGATGGGGAAATTATGGGGTTTTTTCGAGCCGATCTCCCAGAGAGGAAGAAGAGGTTTCCCTCTTGGGCTGGAGCTGAAAAATTTGCAGCGGATTTGAATTTCGGCGAAAAAAACGGCATTTTTTTTGCGACTGGTCCAGGAACCCGACAGATGGAAGTGACCAGCCTTCACTTCGTTCTATGAAAGGAGTAACAGTGGTTACGCAATAAAGCCAAAAAGGATCATATTAGTTATCTGGGCAACCGAGCTCGATACGGATCCATCGAGCTCGACATGTCAACCCAGCTCGATCGACCATCGATCTAGGGGAACCGTACTCGATATCTTGATACCGAGCTCGAAATCCACTCGTGCTCGGTCTTCATTGACATGAATATGATCCGACCGAACTCGATCTAAGTTATCGAGCTCGACTGGCTTCGCTTATCCTTATCGAGCTCGATAACGTTATCGAGCTCGGTTTTTAACAGTCTGCCTATCGATTAAAAATGGGAAAAATGGAAAAGCAATAATGGCCAGCATCTAAGATGAATAAAAAAAGTTTGGACCCTATTCACACCCTATTCACCTTATTCTTCCTTAATTTGTTTTTTTTCCTCGCACATATATGCTGTAATATAATTAATAATCCCCTTTTGTTTTGCAGACGTTGGCGACCTCCAATTCCTGGTTAGCTGAGCATTTATGGATTATTTTTTTTGGTTGGGGGACGCGAATGTAAACAAACATGGCAAAAAGCGAAGTGCAATGTTGTGGGAAATGATTCCTTCCCTTATTACCGCTTTCCAGCTTTTCACCCTCTCCCCCTCCCCTTCTTGTACCTGCCACGCAGGCTATTTACAGGTTGATGGTTCTATATTGAGCGAGGAGTTCTTCAAAGCGGCATATTATGGTAACCTTAAAGCAGAACAGCAAGTGATCCGTCTAAAAAAGGAATTTATTGCATGGTTTATTTACATTCTTTTTTGCTTCATTTTTTCCCCAAGCGGGCAGCACGTAAAAAACAATTCCTGATGTCAGTTTTACAGAACAAAGGTTAACAAAATTTCAAGAATTACCCGTTATCTGTAATACAATCTCTTCTACAATGACATTTGTCAATTATCGAAATCTAACTAACGAAATCTTAGTCTGCTTAGTCAGGGGCTCCCAACGCCGGTTATATCTTTTCCGAGAGTCGTTCAAAAGTTTCTATCGGTCGGGTAGTCCTATAGGGCGTCCTGACTGTTTTCGAAATTGCAAGAGTATTACACTGACTTTCCCTGGCAATGTGACGATGCATTTTACAGGACGCAGACGTTGGTTTCCCCTGTTTTAGCGACAAATTTCAATCAATTCCATTATCAAAGAGGAGTCTAGAGAGTCATATCGTTAAATTAATATCATAAAATTTATAACATAGTACGAATTTAATCTACAGCACCAATTTTAAAAAATTTTAAAATGCTTTCTTGTTCCCAATTCGTCACCGCCAAAAAGCATTGTCTAGCTGGTCGTTAAATGTTGTTTTGGTATAACTTGACAGAAAGGCATAAAATTCTAACCCATTTTTCTTTTATGCATTTGACGTGAGACTACCGTCAATGGCGCGTGAATTGAAATCTGTTCTAAGCGCAAACCTCTTGCTAACCTTGTTTTCCAAGCTTCGTATTG